TTTTTAGTGCTGYATARTAYTCCATGGTGTATAAATGCCACATTTTTTTTATCCATTCATCTATTGAAGGGCATCTGGGTTGGTTCCACAGTCTAGCTATTGTGAATTGTGCTGCTATGAACATCGATGTGGCAGTATCCCTGTAGTGCGCTCTTTTAAGGTCTTCAGGGAATAGTCCAAGAAGGGCAATAGCAGGGTCAAATGGTGGTTCCATTCCCAGCTTTCCCAGGAATCTCCAAACTGCTTTCCAAACTGGCCGCACCAATTTGCACATTTTTTCCTTTTAAAGCAAGGGAATTAATTAAGCCCACGAAGTTTTGGATAGTGGGGCTGTTTTATTATTGTATTTCATAACTTACATATTATACTATGTGTTTTTACATGTGCCTATTTTTACCTAAGTAAAATTTTCTGCTTTTTAATCAAATGATATAAAACAAGGTATATTGTATTTTTCTTTTCCTGTCCTGGAGATTGAACCAAKGAGAGCTCTACCACTTAGTTACATCCCCAGCCCTTTTTATTTTTCATTTTGAGACAGGGTCTTCCTAAGTTGTCCAAGCTGGCCTTGAATTTGTGATCTTTCTACTTCAGCCTCCTAAGTAGCTGGGATTACAGGTGTGTGCTTTCATGCCCAATTATCTGTATTTTTTAGATACATATTTTTATAAAATATTTTATCTGAAACTGGCCTGTGTATTGCCTTAAGTGGTGTCTTGGTGTACTATGTCATAATTTTATGACTGTTTTTTCTTAGTGTGTGTGTGTATATATATATATATATATATATATATATAAAGTAATGAAATGTTAGATTGTATGAGATGTGACATTGAAACTTAATTGAGATAAATGTCATGATTCCCATTTTTTGAAAAAATGAACTTCTTTGGACCCTACATTTTGCATTAAAGGAGTATCTTTTTTCAACTTCAGAAGAGTGTGTTCATATGGGCTTTTCTTAGTAACATACTCTGCTGGCTGGCTGTGGCCCTTTATATTATTCAGACTTTGCTTGTCCTCCTGCAATATTTTTTTTAACTATTTACATCCTCCTAGCTTGTGTCTGTTCACTCTTTTGCCTAATGTGAGGGGATTTTCTTTCAATCCTCTTTGTCCAAGAGCTTAAATATTATTAAATCTTTTCAAGTTTGAGGCAGTCTTCCATTTGTATTAGAAGAATCCTGCTCTTAACACAAAGACCTCCTTAACTCTCATTTCCTATGTGAAATTTAGAGAGTAATTAGTAGCGTGAATCTATGAGGTATATCCAGAATTTTTTCTTATCTGATTTCTCATAAATAGCCAGATTAAAAATAGAATGGAAGGCTGGGGATATAGCTCATTTGGTAGAGTGCTTGCCTTACATGCGCAAGGTCCTGGGTTCAATCCCAAGCACCACAGGGGGGAAAATTTTGAGTAGAAAATATTTGAAAGTTACATAATATGAACAATCAGCTGCAACTTATAATACATGGTAGCTTTGATTAGCAAGTCCTGTGTGTTCAAAGTCCAGTGAACCAATGGGGTTAGCTCTATTTGTGCTAGCTTTGTAGTGGGAGCTGTTCCTAAGGAAGAGTTGTTTAAACTCATAACGTATGTAGAGTTGTGTTGGATAGACCTTGTTTTAGACTGAACCCGAAGTCGAGACCAACTCTTCTAGTGCTCATGGCTTAGTCACCTAGAGGTGGGAGGTGAGGTACCTGCTTCACTAACTAGGAAACCATCCCCGGAGAAGCCACTATTCTATCCATGGTCTAGCAAGCTACAGACTAGCTTACTATCAGTGAATGCTAATTTGAAGAAGACAGGGATTTTCWGTTCTGGATTGTATTCCTGAGCTTTCTGTATGTCTTTTGCCTGGATGTGACTTTCTATATCATGAAATCTATTACAAAAAAACACACTTTTGATTACTGAGGGAGAGAAAAGAATTTKAATATTTTATTACATACACTAAATATTCAATAAATATTAGTTATCATTCTCAGATGCTATCACATAAGTCCTCATGTACCTTAAATAGAGGAAAACTCTGGACTCCAACTTCATGAATTATTTTATTAAGCATCCATTTTCGAGGTATTGGGTATGCACTAGTGAATAAGCAGTCCAGGTTTTTGTCTTCTTAGAATGTAATAGCATTGTAGGGGAAACAGATGAGATAAACAAGCAAATAAAAATTACATTACCAGGGTTGAGACTGTAGCTCAGTGGTAAAATGCTTGCCTCGCATATGTGAGGCACTGGGTTCAATCCTCAGCACCACATAAAAATAAATAAAGATAGTGTGTGTTCATCTACAACTAAATAAATATTTTTTAAAAATTACATTGCCAATTGTGATAGAAGATATGAAGGAAACAGGAAGTGTATTGAATGATAGGGTGGACTGGGAAGACCTGAGAAAGTGGCATTTTAAATTGAGACAAAGTGGGGAGGATATGAAATGACATGGATTTGTAGGACTTGATGTAGGATAAAGACAGGAGAGAAAGGGATCAAGGGACCTTTTGGATTCCTGACTTGAGCCACTGGGTGGACAGTGATGTCACTCATAGAGAAAAGAAGATTGGGGAGAATGATTTGGGGTGAAAACTGAGAGACATGGAAGATGATATGGAGAGTTTTATATGTATTGGTTTGAGATGACTGTAAAATATCTAAATAGGTAAAGAAGTATAAATTTAGAAGAGAGATTTGGACTATGGATATACATTTGAAGATCATCAGGTTCTAGGTGCCTGTTTAAAGCCATAGAAGTGGATGTGACTACATAGAGACAAAGTGCCCAGAATAGTTCCTTAGAGGGATGATATATTTACAGATCACTTAGGAAGAAATAGAGACAAAGACACAACCAGAAAAGAGAAATCTAAGAATGTGTTAAGGAAGTCATGCTTCAAATTGCATGGGAGTACAAGAGGGCTGAAGAACCTCTCATACTGTCTCTGCCTGGTGACTTTTTCCTTTATGTCAACTACTTGTGTGTACTGCTATTTTTTTTAATTTCTTTTTTAGTTGTGGATGGATACAATACCTTTATTTTGTTTTGTTTATTTTTAAAAAATATTTTTTTAGTTGTAGGTGGACACAATATCTTTATTTAAGTTGTACTGAGGATCGAACCCAGTGCCTGACACATGCTAGGTGAGCGCTCTACTACTGAGCCAAACCCCAGCCCATGTACTGCTATTTTAATGAAAGAATATGGGGGAAGCACTTGAACTCACTAATTCTAGATTTTTGACTTCTTGGAGCAAGTACTGTGTTTGATTACTACTGAATGCTCAGTTTGTGGCACATGGTAAGAACATTTTGATATTAAAAGTTCCCAAGATACCAGCAGTGTTATATTATTGTTGTAAAATTATATAACATATATAATTGTTATATTTAGGTTTGCATAACTCTAAAGAGGCTAAAAAATTTTTTCTTTATGGTTTTCCCTTCAACCAGGTTTTCAAGCTAGAAATGCYCTTCTTCAGTCAAATCTTTCTCAAACTCAGCTAGCCACTATTTGGTGAGTTTGTCTATTAATTATTATTTTAAACTATACCCCCTCTATTATAAGAAAGATATTGTTTCTGGAAAATTGTTTCTATAAAAGTTTGTAATTCAAAGATTCTCCATAAAAGCAGCCATTTGAAAGTTAACGTTGACTTTAAAACCAAACATACTTGTGCAAAGCATTGTTCTTGAGAACTTAGCATTTAATTATTTTACAAGAAAAGTACACTTTTCTTCTATATAATGACTTCTATGGAGAATCAGACAATATATCATTGTAGGTAAATGTGGTTAGGTAGATGAATTGAACATGACATAAGCCACCTTCCCACAATGGGTATTTCCCATTCTGTTTCAAAGTCTTCCCTCTTTTATGTTATGAAAATTAAGGGTTAAAATTAATTCACTTTTTTGTATATATTTTCATTTCACTAAAATATGATAGCCCATTCGTTTTATCATCATTCTTCTTCTTTTTTTTTTTTTAGTTGTTGATGGACCTTTATTTTATTTATTTGTATGTGATGATGAGAATTGAACCTAGTGCCTCGTGCATGCTAGGCAAGCGCTCTACCACTGAGCCACAACCCTAGTCTCCTCATCATTATTCTTTTAAAAAYAAAATTTGTTCAAACAGTATTTTATTCCAAATGGACTTTGTAAGTATGAATTTCACATTTTCTTTAGGTCTCTGGCTGACATTGATGGTGATGGACAGCTAAAAGCTGAAGAGTTTATCCTTGCTATGCACCTCACTGACATGGCCAAAGCTGGACAGCCTTTGCCACTGACTTTACCTCCTGAGCTGGTCCCTCCTTCTTTCAGGTGAGTGTCTCTAAAGAAGAGCTATGGTTTTTCATTACTTGGCAGGTGTGCTTTTAGTTTGGAATTTGTTAGGGTCTGTGCTGTACTTTAAAGGATAGAGTTAAATATTTGTGCTGGCATTTGATTTTAATATCCAACGAGTTACACTGGAAAGGAGTACATATTAGAAGGTATGTTTTCACCATGTTACAGAYAGGAAATTGGTAACTAAAGAGATTAAGAGAAACTTGCCTGGGCTGGGAATGTGGCTCAAGTGGTAGCATGCCTGCCTAGCATGCGTGAGGCACTGGGTTCATGCGTAAGGCATGGGTTCGATTCTCAACACCACATAAAAACAAAATAAAGAYATTGTGTCCACCTAAAGCTAAAAAAATAAATATTAAAAAAAAAAAAAGAGAGCAACTTGCCCAAGAATAGCAATTAGCTTGCTGGGTGCAGTAGCGTGTAATCCCAGTGGCTCTAGAGGCTGAGGCAGGAAGATCTTGAGTTCAAAGCTAGCCTCAGCAACTAGCAAGGCCCTAAGCAACTCAGTGAGACGTTGCCTCTAAATAAAAAGTGCTGGGATATGGCTCAGTGGTAAAGTACCCCTGGGTTCAATCCCTGGTACCCCCCCGCACCCCCCCCCAAAAAAAAAGAATAGCAGTTAGCTGAACCATAATTTGAATTCAGATCTCTGGCTTGAAATCCATATACTGCTCGCTGTACATTGTAACTATAAACCATACTGTGTTTTAAATATCTTTAATAGTATTCTAAATATTAATTTGTAATAATCATTGGTAGTTTATATTATCTTGTCTGAAAATTCCCAGACTGCATGATATTAAATTTGTTTGTTATTTGCTTTTCTTAGAGGAGGAAAGCAAATTGATTCTATTAATGGAACTCTGCCTTCTTATCAGAAAGTGCAGGAAGAGGAACCTCAGAAGAAATTGCCAGGTATCATTGAATGTCTGAGTTGTATGTTTATAGTGAGTTCTTTAAAGTTTTACTTTGAAATGTAGATGCATATTTAGAATTTTTGCATTCTTTAAATTTCATATTGCTATATGAGAAAACTATATGATGAATGAGATGAATTTTGATGTCAATAAAATTTAGCTAGGCAAAATGAGAAGACTGAAGGAAGAAGAGACAGTGTCCAAGTTAGGGTGTTTCTCCCACTTAGGCAGGATTAGTGAGCAAACTTTGTGATGAAATCTTTAGCATTAACTTTTTTGTAAAGATATTGGTTGAAAGAGTACATACGTAACTGTTTTAAAATATTTAAAAGTTAATGAACATGTATCAAACAAAACAAAGGTATAGCCACACAGCTTTCATTGTCCTAGAAGAAAACTCTGAGAAAAAAAGCTAAAACAGTATTTAATTGACAAAGATAGTAAAAATTATTTTTCTCTTGGATGAATTCAAACATAAAATTTGGGGTTTTTTTTAATGAATATATTTAGAAGTAAATATTTTCCAGTTTACATTTGAATTAAAATTATTCTTAGGAGAAGTAGCCAAAGAATGAGAGCACACAAATGATCACAGGGTGCAAGTATGTTGAACTAGATTACAGGTCCTGAGTGGGGACAGCTGACAGTGTGCCTTCTTTAGTTACCTTTGAGGACAAGCGGAAAGCCAACTACGAGCGAGGGAACATGGAACTGGAGAAGCGTCGCCAAGCCTTGATGGAGCAGCAACAGAGGGAGGCAGAACGTAAAGCCCAGAAAGAAAAGGAGGAGTGGGAACGAAAGCAGAGAGAATTACAAGAACAAGAATGGAAGAAACAACTTGAATTAGAAAAGCGCTTGGAGAAACAGAGGGAATTGGAGAGACAACGAGAGGAAGAAAGGAGAAAAGAGATAGAAAGAAGAGAGGTTATTTTTAAGTTATTTTATTTCCTAAGAAATCTTTCATTTAATAAGAAATTACATTTCATGTAACAAAAACATGTTTTTTTGTTTGTTTGTTTTTTGCATTTTTATTGTACTTTTTCCTCTGCATCATTTCATTCTAAAAGATAGGAATCTCCCTTCCTTTAAGAAGGGAAAGAGGACCCTTTCATGTAAGGGCTTTTCAAGGCTGCTAAGTGTAGAGACAACCACTCTGCAGTTGATAGCTCAATCAAAAGAGAATTAACTGTCCTTCCTGAGTTCAGGGAGGAGCTAAGGATAGTGGTGAGTGAGGAGTCAGGCTGAGCCAAGACATTAGATGAAAGCAAGTTTAGGATTCAGATTTTACAATCTAAGGAATTGGAGGAACAGAAGGACAAGAGTGGGAAGGTGAGGGTCTAGAGAGAAATCAAGAGGGTGGCCTTGTGTAGGTGCTCAGGATAGTGTTATATGGGATCCCTGGGAGGATTGGCTGTGTATTAAAGGGTGAGGAATGGAGCACTGTAAATTATAGTGCACTGAAAAAATGTAAATAGATATTTTTTTTCTCCATAGAAGAATAGAGATGTAATTATTCCTCTTACCATTTGTATTTATGAAGTATCATTTTTGCTCTTAAGAGAAAAATTCCTATATTTAAATGTTGGTCCAGTGAAGCAATCAGTGATGGCTGTAGCTCAGTGGTAGAGCACTTGTTTTGCGCGTGTGAGGCACTGGGTTCGATCCTCAGCACCACATAAAAATAAATAAAGATATTGTGTCCATCTACAACTAAAAATTATTTTTTTTAAAAAAGGTGATGGATAAAGTAGTCACTTTGGTGGGAGTCTTTAGACCTATTGATAAAGCTAGATTTGCCCACCTAATCTTTAGACACTGTGGCCTATGAAGTGCTGAACACTGTCATGCCTTCAGTTTCTGAAAGTTGCAAAGTTTTTAATTTAAAATTTAACTTTAATTCATTATTCTCAGGCAGCAAAACAGGAACTTGAACGTCAACGTCGTTTAGAGTGGGAGAGAATTCGTCGACAGGAGCTTCTCAATCAAAAGAATAGAGAACAGGAAGAAATTGTCAGGTTAAACTCTAAAAAGAAGAGTCTTCATCTTGAGTTGGAAGCACTGGTATGGCTAAAGTTTAAGTGGAATTTATTTGAATGATGCTAAAGTTACCTGTTGAAAAATAAAATTGTTTTTTAAAATCATATCTCATAAATAAATTTTGTTTAATGTAATTACTAGTTKTATTTTCAGATATGCTTTGAATAGATTTGACAGTATAGTTTACTAAAAAAGGCTAGAGATTCAAAATGCTGAGAATTCTGTTAAAATTTTAGTTTAGAGGCTGGGCAAGACATTTTCTTCCTCTGTGTCTCAACCTTGCCTATGTATAAAATAAAGAGTGTACTAATTCAGTAATTTTTAGCTTTCAAATCAGTCTCTAGAAGAAAGCCTACAAAGGATAATACCCAACAGATGGCTCTATATTTATCTGCTTTATTTTTATTAGCGTTTTATCTAGGATTTGGTTGGATAAAAGGATTCTTTTGAGCTGGGAATGTAGCTCAGTTATAGAGTCCTTGCCTAACATGCAAGGCCCCAAATTCAAACCCCAGGAAGGAGGTGGGGGAGTCTTTCTTTGTTAACAATTTTTAAGTCATTTTTCTTTTTATCTAAATGGTCTCTTAAAATTACTTCCAGTTCTATATGCAGAGTTTAGAAAGGTCCAGAACCTATACTTAGACATATTGAAGATTGTAGTGTGAGCTCTAGGAAGAATACAGCATATTTAGTGTGTATTCCTCAAATATGAAACAATCTTCAGTAAAACTTCCATTATTTATGATTTTTAATCAGGGATCACATTTCTCCTCACTCTATTGGTTTGTTAGGGCTACCATAACAAAATACTACAGGTTAAGTAGCTTAAATAGCAGAAATTTATGTTTTTCACAGTCCTGGAAGTTAGCAGTTGAATATCAAGGTGTCTGTGGGTTTAGTTTCTCATAAGGTCTCTCTGGCTTGCTGGTGGCTACCTTATTCCTGTGTTCATAGTCTTTTCCTCTGTGCATGTGCATATCTATTATGTTTTGTGTCTAGATGTTCTCTTACAAGGACACTAGTCAGATTGKATTAGGACCTGCTCATATTACTTCATTTGACCTTAGTTACCTTTTTAAAGATTCTTTCTCCAAGTATAGTCATATTCTGATGCACCAGGGTTAGGACTTTAAAGAATTTTGTAAGGGACAYGGTTCAGCCTATAACGCCCCAACTCACCCTTCTTCTTAGGCCCCATTGAAAATTTCTTATTTTCCTCTCCCTCCTCAGAAAAGAAAGGGAAGAGAGGTTACTCAGTGATTAAGGAACGGAGTACTATTATAGGAAAAGAGAAGTGTTTTCAAAAAGGTTCTCTTAGATACTGTTTAGAGGAAATTAGACAATAATATTGAGAGTAGGAATAAAAGCTCAGAGAAGGTAATGCTAAATGTTACATATAAACATTTATTCCTTCTCATTATTCTTTGAAATTGTCTCTGATATTAATATTTTAAGTATATGCCTAAGTGCTGAATTCAGAAAAAAAAACTAAGTATATTTGTGCTTTCCCATCTTAACATTTGATCTCTTATGCTCTGAGAATGATGTATTTTCTTCCAATACTTCTCTTGAGTTAACAGATGCAACTCTACAACATATTTCACTTAGTTTTAGACCTTTATTTCAGAGTGAGTATAAATAATAAGTGGCATTTAAAATTTTAACTAAAAACAAATTTTATTCTGGTAGAACATTTCCTTTTAGCACTTTATGTAAATATACGCAACCTTATACATATGTTTGTATGGTCTTCCTCCAGAATGGCAAACATCAGCAGATTTCAGGCAGACTTCAAGATGTCCGACTCAGGAAGCAAACACAAAAAACWGAGCTGGAAGTTCTAGATAAGCAGTGTGACCTGGAAATAATGGAAATCAAGCAGCTTCAACAGGAACTTCAGGTAAGTCCTTTGTTGATAAATTGTCCATAAATRTGTAGTTATTCACAGTTCTTCCAATAGTGTGATTGCACATTTGGGGATCATGAGCCCTTTGGAGTCTCTGGTAAACCTGTAATGTAAATATACACAACCTTATACATAATATCAGAAATCGTATGTCTCCTAAAACTCTGCTAGACATCCAGTTAAGTTCTGCTTAATATTTATATGTAAATGGACATTTACCACTTTGAGTTTTAACTCTTTCGTAAAAGAAAAAAAAATGTTTATATATATTTGTCTTGGTCTATTCATGCTGTTATCAGAATATCTTAGACTGGGTAAGTTATAACACCAGAAACTTACTGCTAATAGTTATAGAGGCTGGAAATTTGAAGACCAAGGCACTGCAAGTCAATGTCTGGTGAGTTTACTCTCTGCTTTGAAGATGTCATCCTGCACTTCCTCACATGGCAGATGGGGCAGGGCAGCTCCCTTCCTCTTGTTTTATAAGAACACTAATCCCATTCATTAGGAAAGAGCTCTCATGATTTAATCACCTCCTAAAATCCTACCTATTAGCACAATTGCATTGGGGGTTAAGTATCAAAATATTAACTTTGGAGAGGACACCAGCATTCATACTRTACCATACATTAAAGTAGGTTTATAGCTACCTTGAAATTTTGACATACTCTTTTTAGAATTGTGGTAAGAATGTTAAATATGTCCCTCAAAAACCTRGTAATTCTGTTCTTTGTGCGGTAGGGTGTGTGTGATTCAAGGACTATTTTTGCAGAATAAGGATTCTAAGAAGCATTCATCTCTAGATAGTCTTCTTACCCCATTTCTCTTACTGGATGGTCTGACAATCAGTCTTTTCCCTGTGTCACAGCATATAAACAAAAGCCAGAAAACATTTCATGTCTATCTAAACCTGTTTCCCTTGTTCTCTCTGAATTTTTGGTCCTTTTTTGATAATCACACAGGCAGCACTCTGGAGTGACGTGCTCTGCCCACACATATATCTGGTACAGGTGCCAGAGGCACCCCTTATGCTCTGCCCACTGTCGACCATTAGAAAGTTAAAGATTGTAGACTTCTAGACACACCCTCTTGTTGTGGCTTCTTTATTGCCTTTTAATCTCATCCAGTTATAAATGGATGTTTAAGTGTTTGCTTTTTAATCCTGCATAGTTCTATTCTAGTTTATCACTGTACTAATTTCATAAGTGATTAAATCATGTTTAAAAGTTTTCAAAAAGATTCTTGGGTATTACAACCTTAATTAGATATAATTTTTCTTTTTATAAGGAATATCAAAATAAACTTATCTATCTGGTACCTGAGAAGCAATTATTAAATGAAAGAATTAAAAACATGCAGCTCAATAACACACCTGGTAAGTCTCTAGTTTTGTTTATTCTTTTCTGAATGATTGTATCATTGTATGTATATGTATCACATTTTCCTTATCTATTCCAGTCACTGATGAGCATTTAGGCTGGTTCCATAGTTTGACTATTATGAATTGTGCTGTTATAACCATTGGTATGCATGTATCACTATAGTATGATGACTTTTTTTCTTTAGGATAAATACCAAGGCTGGTTTTTCCATATCTAGTCTTTTTTTTTTTTTTTTTTTTTAATCAGAGATTGAACTCAGGGGCATTCAACCACTGAGCCACATTCCCAGCCCTATTTTGTATTTTATTTATTTAGAGACAGAGTTTCACTGAATTGCTTTGGGCCTTGCTAAACTGCTGAGGCTGGTTTTGAACTTAAGATCTTTCTGTGTCAGCCTCCCAAGCCTCTGGGATTATAGGTGTGTCCCATGCCTGGCATACCTATTCTTTTGATGAATGGTGAACCTCCATATTGATCCCATAGTGGGATCATACTAATTTACAATTTCACCAAAAGTGTAAAAGTGTTTCTTTTTCTCCACATCCTCTCCAGCATTTATTATTATTTGTATTCTTGATGACTCCCATTCTGACTAGAAGTATTATTATTAAAACATATCATTATTCTGAGCTGGGATTGTGGCTCAGTGGTAGAGTGCTCACCCATCATRTGTGAGTCCCTGGGTTTGATCCTCAGCACCACATAAAAATAAAATAAAGATATTGTGTCCAACTACAACTAAAAAATAAATATTAAAAAATCATTATTCTATCATAAATAATATTTTTYCCAATAAGTTAAATTTTCAAAATAATATGGAAAATATTATTATAGATAATAGAGCACTTTTGTGATAAAATGAAAAGTAATTATTGTATGTCTTCCTGTATTGATATTTTTATTTTTTATAATTTAAATATCAAATAAGATATTTCATTATTGATAATGCTGATGTTGGACACATGTTTTATCTGAGAGTGTACAACTGCATCTATAAAACATTTCCTGAAAAGTTCAGTCTCCAGAAAGCAAAGGCTAGGAAAAATCTAGGTTATACATGCTCAGGTTCTTATTTTCAGCCTCCCAATTTATGAAAGGGTAGAAAGAAGCTGGGAATATTGTACCAATTTCTTCACATGGAAGAAACACCAGAATAAAAAGTTTATTTTTGTGAACTATTCTTAGAATTGTCAGTTGCCTTCTACTGATAGGGTTTATTCATATCTCCTCTCAGACTGTCTTCTTTGCCTCTGATTCTTTTCTGCTTAAACTATATTACCCCCCTAACTGGGCACAATTGCTCACATCTATAATCCCAGCAACTTGGGAGGCTGAGACAAAAGGATCACAAGTTAGAGGCCAGCCTCAGCAACTTAGTGAGGCTCTCAACAAATTAGCAAGACCCTAATGAAAATAAGAAAATAAAAAAGACTGATGATTCAKTTGAGAGGTAAAGTGCTCCTTAGTTCAATCCTTTGTACCATAGTAATAATAATAACAACAGCAGCAGCAGCAGCAACAACTATATTAGTCTCCTACTGTGTCCTTCCATGGATATTCCAAAGGTAGTACAAGCCACCCCTCTTGAACTGTGCAGTGAAAGAAATATATCATCAACATCATTGTTGTTGTCATTGTTGTGCTGTTTGTGCTGTGAATGGAGCAATGTTTACTGTATTTTATTTGGAACCTGGTAGAACTACTCTTCTCTGTAGAATATGATCCATTCAGCTTTATTTATCCATAGTCCAATTAAAAATACAAAGCTTTTGTTTGGGAGTTAAATAGTACCCTGTATCCTTTTGATTCTTCTCTTCATAACAGTTACTATTTATGATTACTGACTGTTTGTCAGATAACGTGCTAGGCAGTTTTCATGCATTATTTTTTTAATCTGTGCAACAGCCCTGTAATATAGTAATTCCTATTGTGCAGTGCAGGAAAACTCAGCTTCAGAGAGACTAAAGAGTTAATCAAGATTGTTTAGTGGTATTACTCAAATTCATGTCCATCTGACTCTAAAGTCACTATACTATCACATTGTCTTCCACTGATCTAATGTAGTGTGCATATACAATTAAATTTGGTATTAAAACATGCATTATTAGTGATGCCCATTGTTATGAACAAAGAAGAAATATTTAGCTATAAAATTTTACTGATAGACATAAAACATTTCTGAATAAAAAGACATTTTATGTTCATGAATGAACTTGCTCAGTGCAGAAGTACTATGCCAGTTCTCTCCTAATTCATCCATACATTCAATTCTATTCAGGTTTCTTTAAATGAAATTTGGCAAGATACTTCACAAACTCACTTAAAAAAATTGTAGAAGATTAAGAAAGACTGGGRAAAAAAAAAAAAAAACATGGACAAACTGGGTGTAGTGGTGCACGCCTCTAATCCCAACAACTCAGGAGGCTTAGGCAGGAGGGTCCAAGTTTGAGGCTAGCCTTAGCAACTTAGAAAGAACCTATTAAAATACAAAAGGGCTGGGCATGTAGCTTGTAGGACAGCACACTCCTGAAAATCCCTATTACCATTAAAAAAAAAAAAAAAGAACTGGACTTGTAGCTCAGAGGTAGAGTTCTTGCCTTGGATGTGTGAATCTCGGTGTTTAAGCCTCAGTACCACCAAAAAAACCTTCTTTACAGCAACGGAAAAAATCAAGAGYATGAAGAGAGTCTACAGAATGGGAGAAAATCTTTACCACCTGTACTTCAGATAAGGCATTAATTTCTATGATATACAGAGAACTAAAAAAAAAAAAAAAAAACACTAGGGCTGGGGCTGTAGCTCAGTGGCAGAGCATTTGCTTAGCATGTGTGAGGCACTGGGTTCTATCCTCAGCACCACATAAAAAAATAAATAAAATAAAGGCATGCTGTTCATCTACAACTATTAAAAAAAAACAAATAAAACAATAAATCAGTAAATAGGCAAAGGGACTAAACAGACACTTGTCAAAAGAAGTAATATGTTCAACAAATACATGAAAAAATATTTAACATCTCTAGTAATTAGAGAAATGGGAACTAAAACTACACTGAGATTTCATCTCACTCTAGTCAGAATGACAGTTATCAAGAGGCTGGGATCGTGGCTCACTGGGAGAGCACTTGCCTGAAATGTGTGAGGCACAGGGTTCAATTCTCAGCACTGCATATAAATAAATAAAGATCCATTAACAACTAAAAAAAAAAAAAAGGAGAGAACACAAGTCACAATAAATGTGAGTGAAGATGTGGAAGAAAAGTTTAACTCATACATTGCTCATGGGACTGCAAATTGCTGCAACCACTCTGGAAAACAGTGTGGAGATTCCTTAGAAAACTTGGAATAGAACCATCATTTGACCCAGTTGTTCAACTCCTTAGCATATACTCAAAAAAAAAAAAAAATTTGGCATACTCCAGGGACCTCAATGTTGGTAGCAGCCCAATTCACAATAACAATGTTTATAGCAGCTCAATTCACAATAGCAAATCTATGGAACCAACCTAGGTACCCTCCAACAGATGAGTGGATAAAGAAAATATGGTATTTATACCCCAAAAGAATATTACTCAGCCATAAAAAAGAATGAAATGATGGCATTTGCTGGTAAGTRGATGAAACTGGAGTCTGTCATGCTAAGTGAAATAAGCTAGTCCCCCCAAAACAAATGCTAAATGTTCTCTCTGATATGTGGATGCTAACCACATCCCCCCACGGTGGGGGAAGAATAGAAGTCCATTGGATTAGACAAAGGGGAATAGGGAAGGGAGGGGGATAAAAAATGAAAGACAGTGGAATGAATCTGACATAACTTTCCTATGTACATATGTGAACACACCACAGTGAATCTCACCATCATGTATATCCATGAGACTGGGGTCCTAATTAGAATAAGATGTACTCCATGCTTGTAGTTTTTCAAAGTGCACTCTACAGTCATGTGTAACTAGAAAGAACCAATAAAAAAATTAAAAAACCAATAATAAAAATGGGCAATAGATACTTGCAAAGATGCTCTATGTTACAAATAATGGGGAAATGAAATCAAAACTACATTAAACTGTTATTATTATAATGGATGTTATCTTAAGAAATGACTGTGAAGAAAAGGGAACCCTTGTACTCTGTTGTTGGAAAAGTAAATTGGTGCAGCCATTTTGAAAAATAGGAAATTCCTCAAAAAATTAAAAAGAGAATGGCCATTTGACCCAGCAGCCTCACTTCTGAGTATATGTTTGAAGGAAATAAAAATCACTGTCTCAAGGAGATGTCTGTATAAATTCACTGCAGCATTATTCATCACAGCCAAGATATAGAAACAACTTATATGTCCATCCACAGATAAATGGATAAGGAAAATGTGATGTGCACCAGTACACACACACCTCACATAAACCATGGAATATTATTCAGCTGTGAAAAAAGAAAATCCTCCTATTTGTGACACACATGAGTGCCCTTGGATGATATTATGCTAAGTGCAATAAGCTAGGCCTGGAAAGACAAAGACTGCATGATCTCACATGTGGAATTTTAAAATGTTGAACTCAGAAAAAGAGTAGAAAGGTGGTTATCAGGGTCAGAGAGTAGGGAAGATGTTGGTCAAAGGGTACACACAATTAAAGATGAATAAAGTTCTGGAGACCTAATATGTAGTATGATGACTAGCTAATAATAATGTATTATATACTTAAAGTTTGCTAGGGAAGTAGACTTTAGTGCTCTTTCTAAAAGAAAAGGTAACTATAGATGGATAGTAACCCTGGATATGATGGAATGGATATGTTAATTTGCTGCACTGAAGTAATCATTTCACTATCAAAGCATCATATTGTATACTTTAAATAAAAACAGTATATTTTTTAACATAAATGTGTTTATCCTTTTGCAGAGCAATTCTTTACTATCTAGTCTTATAAAACACTTAGACATGTGCATTAAAATGTGTGTACAGGGGTATTTATTGCAGCATTTTTATGTAATGGTAGAAAATTAAAAACAATCTAAATGATAATTGAAAAAGGAAATGGTTGCATTAAAGAGGGAATGGCCATAATGTAGACTAYGATGGAGTAGTTTTAAAGACTATTAGATCTGTATGTCCTGCTTGATGATATAACTTAAAAACAAGTTGCAGAGTAGTGTAAACAATATATTCCTACTAAAACCCATGGAACCAGGCGTGATGGCATATACTTGTAATCCCATGTTACTCAGGAGGTTGAGGCAGAAGAGGGCTGGGTACCCCTGGGTACAATCCCTTGTATGTCCAAAAAAAGATTGTGTACATATGTAAGAATAAGTGCTTACAAAGGGAATAAGCTGGGCTTTGAGCTGAAGGAAGACTTTTAGCTTTTTACTCTAATGCTTCATTTGATTTAAATTATACTTAAATTAAATTTCTATATTTTAATACAGTTTAAAAATATACATTTGAATTGTAATTTTTTAATATAATCGACATTATAGATTTGTCCCTGGTTTCTCCATCATTGTGTGAGCATGTAAAAAAAAATCATATAAAATAGAGACCCCTGTTCTTACCTCCTAAAATAATGTTACTAAATAATCCAGTTGGTAATATGTATTGAGTCCTTGCTGTGAATATTCCCCAGTTCTTGGGAACCTTATGAATAAATAGAAAGCTGTTTTAGCAAAACATGTTATTAATTGAGTAATCGGTGTAGGCCGGATACTATGCTTGGGTTTTATTTCCATCACCACATTTAATGAGATGGATGGTGTGATGCCCATCGAATAGAGAAAGATCTGAGGACCAGATTGGTGAAACACTTTATCCAAAGTAGAGTTTCACTTCAGTTCCTGGTCTTTTTGAGTACAAAACCAATGCWTGGTACCCATTTCCTCTGAGGATCTTCCCAGTATATGATCTGGGAAGAAATGACCACTGAGTGTTTTCTCCTTCACTAGTCACATAATATCGGTACATCCTATGTATTTCTAAGTTAGCCAGATAGTAAATGACATACTGGTAACAACATAGGAAATTCTACCAAATGTAACTGTCTGATGTTTGTATTTCAGATTCAGGGATCAGTTTACTTCATAAAAAATCTTTAGAAAAGGAAGAATTATGCCAAAGACTTAAAGAACAATTAGATGCTCTTGAAAAAGAAACTGCATCTAAACTTTCAGAAATGGATTCGTTTAATAATCAATTGAAGGTATTTGTCCTCTATTATATTCATTTTGAGGTAGCTGCCTTCTCACCTTCCTTATTTTGATTGAATAGAATGAATAGCTAAAGCTGTTATTGCTATATGTTATTGCTATTCTGTCGTTTCATAATTTATGTTATGATTTTCAACTATACCAGAATTGCAAGATCGTTTTTAATGTTCTCTAAAATGTTACATTGTAGCATAACAAATATGTCATTTACCATATTATTTACCAGTTTTTGATGACTTTGTTGTCTTTTTGTTGGCATCTATACATTTTAAGAACAATTACCTTTGTCAGTATTACAAAACTGATGTCAGTCAAGATGATCTTATTCAATGTTCTAAAATGGAAAATATGGAAACTTTAAAAAATAGTTCTGGTATACATTTTAATTAGGATCCCAGTCTTGTGGTTGGATTAAAAAAATTAGTTCTGGTGGTAGCGGCTCTTTTAACATGGTAAATTATTATTATTTTTTTGTTAAAGTATAATTTGATTACCCTTTATGAAATAACGCGATGATCAAGCAGAATCTAGCACTTTTGCATGAAAAGTTAAATTCTTTATAGCCAGAAGAATGAGAAGTTATACTCTATTTTATGTATGATGTGTCAAAATGTATTCTACTGTCACATATAACTAATTAGAAGAAATTTAAAAAAGAAGTTAAATTCCTGATTCATTGTTTGCGTCAATGGCAGAGCAGATGTTCAAAGCACACTGAGTGCTTATCTTTCTGTGTAATGTTAGTTGTATATGAAGCCATATCTATGAAAAAGAGAAAATAGAAGCTAAAAACCAGACTTTTAGCACAAAATTCAAATTTGGAAATAGTCTTAGTTATTATTTTGTTAACTGGGCATAAAGTTTTCAGAGCATAAAGTATATAGCATAAAAGTTATTTCTTTGTGTGGTTTTTATCTTGCTGACTTTATTTAAAATAACATTAACACTAATTATGGAGTAAACAACATGAYAAAGAAAACACCATGGTGGCTTCAGTTAAGAAGGAGAAACTTGAGGTGAATAATGTTAATAATGTACTTTACACAGCATATCCTATATAACAATTTTTAAAGAAAACAAAATAACTTGTCATTGATGGTCAAACAAACCAGCCAAGTTATCTTCCCTACGTTTTTAATTTTTTTTAATTTGTACATAGTTTAACTGGCTTTTTGTCTGCCTTATCTTACAGTGTGGGAATATGGATGACTCTGTTCTTCAGTGCCTTTTGTCTCTGCTAAGCTGTCTCAACAACCTCTTCCTCTTACTTAAGGTTATTTTCTAATATCTAGCTCCTTTTTTTTGAGTTACATTACTATTTTCTTTTTTCTTTTTAACTAGACTATTCTTTGCCTTTAAGTATCTTTGTTTGAAATAACATACAATAAAGAATTTTTCTTTCTGCTTGCTTGAATATCCTTCTGCTGTCTTACTGCCTGTTTGAGTCTAATGCCAGAAATCAGGAAGATTACACACAGTTACCTTTCTCTTGAGGAGCCAACTGGTTCTCCTGCATCATCCCCAGCAGTGGGACTAACTCATGGGATGATTACTAATTCAACTCAAAGGAAAACAAGGGAATGTGAGATTAAATCACTTTCCCCATATCACTGAGAACCAYTGTTTAAACTTATACCTTCTGAAATCTAGGGTATAGTTACATGTATAGACTAGGCTGCATCCTACTTCTACTATAAGTAAAAGTTTTAAAGAACCACTAATATGGGGCAGTTTTACTTAGGTCTAGTTACCAGGCTTCATATTTAGATATGCTTGGACTCTAGCTAAAAATATTTCAATTATTTATGTAAGYTATTTGCTTTCCCATGTATAACACAACAGAGTATTAAAAATACTCAATAAATTCTTCTTTAGCATGATTTAAAGAAAGGTGCTTTATTTATATTTACCACTTGTTTACCCTACTATATTTTGACTGCACATTCTACTTGGTACTAAAATGGGTGGAAACAGGCAGTTGCACATATATTATGCAGTGAAAACCAGAACATTGTAATATAGCTGATTTGTTACCTGAGCAAAGGTAGGGGACTTTGGAAAGTTGGCAGTAGTATCGTCCCCATTTATTAGCCTCTATGTTTATAGCATGACTGGCCAGATTATCTGGTTTTCAAATTTTTGCTACAGATTGCACAGAAACTTAAACCTGAATTTTTCTGTAAATTGAGATACAATGATGATTTGTGGACTGTGTTTACTCACATAGTCTGATTCTTTCAGTTCGCATTTGATTCTCTACAGGCCAGCAGATTTTTCTTGTCTCTTGTTTTACTTTCTTCCTTTTGCTTCCTGCCTTCTAGTCTTTTACTGCTTGTTGTTAATTTCATCAGAGGCAATTTAGGAAAATACAAGGATGAAAATATTCTGTCAGAGTGATCAGGAGACTTGACTGTATTATCATAGAAAGCAAGAAAAGAGGTCTTCTGTAGTCATTGTAAAATGATACAGAGTGATCAGAGAGCAGTATTGAAAAGTATCTGTTGACTATCAACAAGGAGGCTTTGAAGTCCTTGCTGAAAGTGCCATTTCAGTTGAGTGATAAGCAGAGTGTGGATTGCAGTGGATGGGGAATGAATGGGAGCAGAAGAAGGATTAAGTGAGTAGGAACAACTCTGAGGAGCAGGAAGAGAGCATGGAGTGAACAGAGAACTGGAGGGACTTGGTGGGGGGGGGTCGGGGGGGAGCTTTAAAGAAAGACTTGAGAGGAAAGGAGGGAAAGGGAGATGGAGATTGAAGTTAAAAAGTGGTGATAATTGAAAGAGCATGGTCCCTGAGGAAGTAGATATAGAATCCAGAGCATAGATAAAAGGAATATCTAAAAAAGTATTTTCAGTGTTGCATACAGGGGAAAGATATATATGAATGCAACTAAACTCGTTGGTAGAGAGTAGAAAATTGACARATTCAAGATTTAAAGTTAGAAGTGAATTGTACCATCACAAAAAAATGTGTCTGGGTGAGTGAGGAAATGGAATAACACCTTAGACCTGAATAAGGGGGGTATAGATACAAGAAGTGTTGCTGATTTGAGATGGACAGCTGAGGGACTTCTGGTCTGATGGCTTGATGAAGCAGGGGTTTAGCTGATAGTGAAGAGAATGATGGAAGGTGAAAGATGTTTCAGGAAAGAGAAGTAGGCATAAAATAGACATATAGAGTGAGGGTGGTGCAGGCTTGATAGAGAAAAACAATAAGTGTTTTGAGCTATGTTAGTTGCCTCTTTGAAGTTGAAGGTCACACCTAATTGTATGATTTTTCTCTGTTAATGTTCAGCTGCTTAGATATAAGCACAGAGAAGTCTAATGAAGTGGGTTTGGAATTTTAATAGACATGGGCCAAGAGGAAGGGACAAAGGAATCACAGATCTTAACATAAGAATTATGATAAAAGATGAACTCTGAAATATGAACCAGATATGATAGGAAGGGAGTGCTGATGAAGAGAAAATGATGGGGTCAACAGAATGGAGGTCTCAAGTTAAAAATTTGTTTAAATGCCTATACCAGGTATAAGAAAAGATCAAAGGCTAAGAACTTATGCTTGAGAAATGGGGTRTTTATCAGTGGTAGTTCTGTTTCTGATGGTGATAAGACTTGGAGTATACTAATGAGAATGGTAGATTAAATGGAATAAAAAGGTCATTGGTGAAGAGATAGCCTCATAATTGAGGATTGGGCCAGGGGGGTAGGGGGCTGCTGAGGCTGGAACCCAAGCTTCACACATCCTAGGCAAGTGCTCTATCACTGAGCTACACTGCCAGCCCTAAAGTTGAGGTTTTGATTGAGTCATCTATCTATGTGTATATCAGATTTAAGAGAATAGTGAGGATGAGTGAATGAGGATCAGTGACCAGGTGATCAATAGGTGACAATAAAAACGAAGGGAGAGAGTGATATTGCTGGATAGTATGAGTCTCAGAAAAGCATCTAGTTTATAAGAGTCTAGGAATGGCAGTGAGCCAGCAAGGAAAATGCTACAGTTTTTCCCTGGCCCTGATGTGAATAGAGTATGAGAGATCAGCTAAGAAGGTAAGGGAATTTCCATTCAGAGAAGACGTGTTCATATGAGATCCCCTGGTCACAAAGAGCAAGTTCCAGGAGAGTGAAACTGTTGGGGAGATTATGTGTGAGGAATTGAATCAGATCATGGGATAAACAGAGATGTGACTAAGAATGACAAGAGGGTTTTGGAGGAAGATAAGTACTTTGTTCTAATGCTGTGGCCCTTTGTGACAGTTGAGCATCTGGAGTAATTGATTTTTCTTTTAGGCTAATTGTAGTGAAAACAGAAGTATAACATTTAAAAATATTTATYTTAGAAAGTTATGTTTTATTTATTGACCGTGTAATATACATATACAGAATCGGTAATAATTTTTACTCTTTTAATCAAGTGATACCAAGACACACAGCAAAACCAGTAGGTTCAAAGGTGAAACATTGAACAGGCCATTATTYATTAAGAAAATTGGGCTAGGGTTGTGGCTTGGTGGCAAAGTGCTTGCCTAGCATGTGTGAGGCATGGGGTTCAATCCTCAGCACTACATAAAAATAAATAAATAAAATAAGAAAAAAACATTTTTTTAAAAAAAGAAAGGGGCTGGGCTGTAGCTCAGCGGCAGAGCTCTTGCCTAGCACGCGTGAGGAACTGGGTTTGATCCTCAGCATGACATAAAAATAAACAAATAAAATAAAGGCATTCTGTCCATATACAACTATAAAAAATTTTTTTAAGAAGAAAATTGACATGTTGTTCAGTAGTTAGCAGTCAAATGCAAAGAAAAAATGCTGGCCTAGAAATCTGAAAAAATGAGTTCTAGTCCTATCCATGCCATTGGCTAGTTGTATATCCTCCAAATTTTGCTTTCTTCATTTATAAAACAAAACTCACTCCTCTTCCTTGTCTTTTTTGCAGGGTCTTATGATAATTAAAGGAAATAGYACACACAGAAGTGCTTTGTGAACTCTTAGGTGCTGTACAAGTAGTTTTGTTATTCATTCAGGAAGAAGCTGTCCAGAATCTCCAAAATACCTTTAGTGTGTTGGCAAGTCATCACTGCTGACTTTGTGTAATGACTGGGAAAATGCTTTTCCTTAGGGAATAGAATCTGTCAACATCAGAATTGCAGCTTCTTCCAGTGGGCTAGGTCTTCTCCTATGCTCCCAAGGATATGGGATAACCTATGTTAGTTGAATCACTCCAGGTGGCAGATGAAATTTTGATTTACGCAGGTAACAATAAGACTAGTTTGGGAATGAGGAACACTAGTCCTTTGGGTTGTAAATTAAAACTTAAATGAAGTATGTGCATTAGATGTTACAGAAAACATTTCCCAAACTCATAATGTAGTAATTAAGGAAGTATTTCCTTTCTTCCTTCAAAGATTTTTAGGTTTGCCTTTGGAACCTCTTTTCTCCAAAATGGGATATAATAGGAGGAAGTGAGAACCTAAAGAACTGCTGGGAGACATATAAGAACTGCTGGATAGAAATAGAAACATAGAAAAATAGAAACATGGTTTCTAAAGCACAGCCTCTTAACCGTTTTTATGCCATGGACTCTTTAGCAGTTTAGCGAAATCTCTAGACCATTTGTCGAAATAATATTTTAAATGCATAAAATGAAATAGGTAGGATTGTTTTTTAAATTACAATTCATAAAATATTTTWAAAAACATTTTGACACATTTATATATATGTKCTTCTATATTAATAAATAACAAGATCTAGTGTTAGATATACCATTTTTGAGTCAAGAAATATATATGTATCAAGTTTTCTATGAAATAAAAATCTGATTTTTTTGGTGAAAAATGTCACAAATACAACTAAGTAGTACTACTGTAGTAAGTTGCTTATATTTGAAGTAGAAGAAAATCTATATTTCAGAAAAAAATGGTGAAAGTTAAGATTAATTTGTGTTTCAGTTCATGGACCTAAATTTTGTTTAAAAAAATTAATACCTTAAAAACTAAGTAAATCAATCTAACCAAGTGATCAAATGTAATATTATCAAAGTGGGACAAACCTGTGTTGTGTTTCTCCTGATGGTGCAGTATATCTGAGAAAGTCAACATCACTTCGATGCTACTTTTGCCAGAAATGTGAGTCCAAGTGTGAGGAAATGGAGAAACCACATTTTGGTTTGTTCTGTTAAACAGCTGAATACCCAACCATACTCTAAAGATGAGAATCTTGTAAAATGTGGAAAAACTCTTCCAGAGTAAAGGAAGCTAAAGAGCCGTGCTAGGAGGAGACAAAGGAGATGTGATAGCTAAGTGCAGTGTATGATCCTGGATTGGATCATGGATTTTTTTTAAAGTCATTACCAAGGCAAATATTTACAGTTAGGGAAATTTTTTAATATGAACTCTATATTAAATATGTCATGTTTAGTTTCTTTAGTTTGGTACTTGCATTCACATTGTAGATATGTAGGAAAATGAAGAATTTAGGGTGAAAGCAATCAGTGTCCACAATTTAGTTAATTTTCTGTAGTTTTGAAAGTTATTAGAAATAAAAAGAGAAAATTTAGAGTTAGGAAAAACTCTCAAGTGTTTGTGAAACCTATAGAAATATATTATAAAGATATAAAGGTAATAGGTAAATTAGCCAAGGGCAAATAACAGTGTTGAGAAATGGAAAAGAGACAGAATGTAAATGAGCTGATTCTTCATATTTCATATCAAGAGTAAATAACTTTTTCAAATTCACTAATCAAGTTATACTAACAATAGCAAGTATTTATTAATGGATTTCTCAGTGGTGGCACTATTCTAATATTAATTTATTTTATCTTAACCCTATCACAGAGGTACTGTTCTTGTTCACATTTTACATAGGAGCTAATAAGAAAAAGACGTCAGTCTGCTCAATGTCATACAAACTAGTAAACGGCAGAGCCAAAATTCAATCCAGATAGTTAAGGTGTTACCTTAAGTGGTTATATTAGAGGAGAAAAGTTTTCTACTTAAGCTAGAAAAAGAATAGCATRGTATCAATAAATAAACCAAAGAAAGTAGAAGTAAATTAGTGAAATAGAAAACAAAGACATTTAATACAGAGAATCAAGAAAGCTAAATTTTGATCCTTTAAAGACTAATAAGATGGGGCTAGGGTTGTGACTCAGCAGTAGAGTGCTYACCTAGTACRTGCGAGGCACTGGGTTCAATCCTCACCACCAAATAAATTAATAAAATAAAGSTATTATATCAACTACAACTAAAAAAAATTTTTAAAAAGAATAATAAGATTAACAAACTTTTGGAAAGACCAGATTAAAAAAKAAAAAGCAGAGTAAAGAAAATTAGGAGTAGAAAGGAGATATAACTACATATACTACAAACACTAAAAGATAAGATAGTATGACACAATTTTACATACAAATACAAAAACTTAGGTGAAATGAACAAGTTATAATTTTCCAAAAGTGACTCAAGAAGAAGCAAAATATCTAAATATTTCTGTCTATATTTAACACTTTAAATCTGTAGTTGAAAATGTTCCTTAAAAAAAGTATCCAGATCCAGTGATTTTACTAAAGGCAAGTAATTCCACTTGTATGTAGCTGTTTCAGACTACAGTTGTTTAACTGTTTACACTTGTTTAAACTTAATATTCTCCTTATTTATGATTTCAACCAGTAATAATAGCTAATATTTTTGAGAATTTAACTATGAGTCCTTTGCAGTTGTAAGCACTTTACATGTATTAACTCATTGTATCCTCACAACTTTGTGAGGCATATATAGATGAGGAAATTCTAACTATCCTTAAAAAAAAAAATGTTTCGTCATTGACAGAGCTTAATTTAAACCTCGGTGGTCTCAATATAGACTCATGCTTCTTATCACTAAACTACATTGCTTATCCATAGATTGTAGCCACTACATTTTTTGCTTTTTGATAGAATTTAGGGAAAAGTGCAACAAATAAAAACTGAAGCTGAGCACTGTGGAAACTTTGCTGTGAATGCATTATTTATATTATTGACTTAAGTTGCAAGTATTTTTGCTCACACRTTTTGGATGAAGCCTCTGGACACAACATATACTTAGATTTACCATCTTAATCAAGTTGAAGGGGCTGACCTATAAAATATTTTATTTCTGGAACAAAAAGAATCTTGTTTGGTTTTGGTTTGGAGTTTTGTTATTATGCGTTGGTAGATACCAAAACCATTTTTTACCACAACATTATACCTAAATATTGTCTTGGTCCCACTTTTGCTRTGAAGTTTCTTTTGATTACTTTTAGGTTTTTTGTTTGTTTTCTCTTTCCTCCAACCTTCTTGTTCTTCTCTCTTGTTATGGATTTTGTAGATTCCAAGCAAAAGAAATTCAGTTCAAAATGGATGAGCTAGTGAATGATTATTGAAAGAATATCAGGATGACTGAATTGTTAAAAGAGCTGCTGGCCAGGGGCAGTTCTAGTACACTGAGCAGTGTCCGTGTCCCTTATTCCCCTTCTCTCCGCTTTCATCTCTGGTCTTTTCTTTTTATATACATTAACTTAATTCCTGCCACTCATGGGTTTGCTTGGTAACCAAACATGTCCCAGCTGTATTTTATCTCAGCTTAACAAGCCCAGAGAAAGGAAAGATTCTGGCCCCATTTGGTCCTTTAGACCAATCATTTTGTGCAGGGAGGTGAGGTACAGTGGTCGTTTAGAAAAAAGTAAATGATTGACCCTGGGTAGGAATGGGAAGACAGATCTGCCAAAATACATGGGATGGGGAGGGCAAGGAGATCAGCTTCCCAAAGGAAGAGTGCTTAAGAAGGGGGAAAGAAAACAAGTTTCTGCTAAGGCACTTAACTATATTTCACATTTGACACTTTTCTCTGCTTTGAGATTATGTGCTCTTTGAAGGGAAAAACTATATACTTGAAAGTCAAGCAACTTGGGATTGGATCSCCTTTCAATCCATTACAGTACTTTGCATACAACTAGATGCTCAATAAGTATTTCAATTCCTGCTTGGAATACATTTCGTTATTTTGGCTTATTTTAGTCATGGTTTTAGGCAAACATTATCTTTTGCATTTTTAGTTTTGGACTAAATTGTTTAATAATTGCTTCTATGTTTAGTTCAATATCTTATTAGATAAAAGTTACTGATAACTTGATATAAAAAGCATAACCAAACAAAATTCCTCTTAAAATGTTATTATAAGCAGATTGTTCCACCACATTTTTAATGAATTGCTTTTTTACTTAAAATGACTTTCCAAATCATTTTGGAAACAAAGAGTTGTTTGGTTAAATAATCTGTGTTCCTTAGAAATGAACTGATGTGAAAGTAGGTAATTTTAACCTGTATTTGTCTCAGTGGCTACGTGGCTTAAATACTACTGTATTTAAGATTTTTTATCATCTAGAATATTTTTAAAAATGTTAAATCTTTTAAATTTAGTTTGACTTGCTTTAGGATTTTTGTCCTTTAATGCAAAAGTCACATTATTACATTAGATAAAAATATGTAAATTATTTGAGTGTTGACTTATTTCCATTTTATCCTTAGGAACTGAGAGAAAGCTACAATACACAGCAGTTAGCCCTTGAACAACTTCATAAGATCAAACATGACAAGTTGAAGGAAATTGAAAGAAAAAGATTAGAGCTAATACAAAAAAAGAAACTAGAAGATGAGGCTGCAAGGTAGTATACTTGATAAATTTATTATACTGTGTTGTTATTAGAATTCTGATTTTGTTGCCCATATCTTTAATTTGTCTGAAAATTTAGGGGTAATAAAAGGATTATGCTAGGATGCTAATCAGAGTCTAAATTTTATGAATTCGATCCTTCTTATAGGGACCAAGTTCTCAGTAGCCAGTTTTATATTCCATTCCAAATACAGCCTTTGAAGTCAGATCTAGATTAGAATTTTTAGTCTACCACTTACTACCTAAGTGACCTTGATTAAGCCATTTTACCATTCTGAACCTCAGTTTCTCCATCTGAAAAGAGTCATTAATGCRTCCTTGTAGGTAATTGAGTATTAAATAAAATAATATAGCTAAAGAACCAAGTRTATGCCTATAAATACATACAGTTGTAATTTTTTAGATTTAATTCTGTTACTCAAGTTTTTTGTTTTGAGTGGTGTTTTGTAATAATGCATTTATAATCAAATAAATTTATAAAAGTGAAAAAAAAGAATGAAGTATAACATCCTGCATATAATAAGCACTCGTTAACATCCTGCATATAATAAGCACTCGTTAATTCCATTTCTCTGTAGTTAATCTGTTACTTTGTTCTGACAGGTTATAAAAATGAAATAGATAACTCTCTCAAGTAATTCATGTAATTCTCTTTATGCCACTGAAATATTGAATCGTCATACATGGAAGCCTACAACCATTCATTTAGAGACTTTGCATTTTTTTTCTGTCCATAAGATCTATTTTAAATATATTTCTTTGTTTCTCACAAGTTCTCCACTGTGTGATTAATCAACAAATATAAATGAACCAATATTCCTTTTCCTTAGTGAAGAGTAGATAAGTTTATGTCTGTGAAAGAGCTCATTACTGGGGAGGCAAAAGAGACACATGCTACTATTTAGCAGACTTCTATGCTTTTTTTTTTTTTTAACTGTCTATTTTTATAGGGTTCCTCATACATGTTAGGGAAGCACTCTACCACTGAACCCCACCCCCAGCCCTAGTGGACCTCTATTCTAAATAGCTTCAAAATAACTTTGAGCACATTTTTATTGAGTGCTACTGCTATGTTGCAAGTGGACATAATACCTTTATTTTATTTATTTTTATGTAGTGCTGAGGATCGAAACCAGCGTCTCGTACATCCTAAGCGAGTGCTCTACCACTGAGCCACAACCTCAGCCCCTGGATTCCTTGTAATTTTAATAGGGGATTCAGACAATTAACTAAATTGCTGTAATACTTTTTACTTTAATACCCACATTTTCATGGTCTCCTAGCCAGAGATAATAGAATAATATAGAAGTAGATATAGAGGAGTTCTTCATTTGTTAACAACATTACATAAAGGAACTATGTAGTTTACATAACTACATATATAATCACTATGTCGGAATTTTCTTTTGATATACATGAAATTATCATTGATAATTATTCATCTCACAATTCTTTTCAGGCCAGTAAACCAAATTAATAATACATGTTTTCATTTCATTAGTAATACATGTTTCATATTAGTTGAAATTAAGTAAGGACTACAAGTAAAAGTACTGTCCTCATTTCATTCATTTTTCTTGCACAGAATCTTACCCTAGGGTAGGAAAGAAATCAAAGAGAACAGAAGGACATGTAGGATCTAATTGATTCAGAGCTAGGTGACAGTACTACATTTTGGTTTGCTTGTTAATTTGCCCAGGTATGTTCCCTTCTTGTTCCAAACTATTGGTAATAGGTTCTCACATTGTAGATGTGGCATCTTTGCCTTTTGTCCCCTTTCTGAGGCATCTTCTGGCACTGGACCAATTTCTCATTCACTAGCTCTTACATAAGAAAGTTTACTAGAATTTAATGAACTTTCTGATGTTTTCAGTGTCCAACTACATATGTGGTAAGTACTCTGATAATGGTGTTCATAAGACTGTGGGAAGTTAGTAAAAGTCAGTAGATATCCTGGTCTCTGGATCGTATCAGGGAAAGTTACAGAGGAACTGGGAAAGGGAATATTAGTTGAAATTAAGTAAGGACTACAAATAAAAGCACTGTCCTCAAGGGAGTCCCACATTTCAGTTATGGAAGCTTCTGGAAGAAGTATCCTAAGACATGATAGGGTATATAGGAGGATTTAGGAAGGGTTGAAAGGAAGCTAGTAGCAGGATACTGGGCCAGTACTATGAAGTATAAGACAGTTTGGGACAAAGAGAAAGGATTAATGACTAAGAGCCTACAATTTATGTTTTATTCAGGATTTCAAATTCCTTCAGGAATAGACTGAGAATTAAGCCAAGATTCCCACTTTGATGGTGTATAAATGTACCCTAATCCATGGGTATAGCTGACCATGGTCTCACCTGCCCCAAATAATATTAAAGTTTAAAGAATAATTTAGTGGTGTCCACTCCACATCTGAATACAGTCATAAAAATGCATGCAATGGAGTACTATGATGTGCATTAGTTCTAATGCTAAAATAATTAAGTCTAATCACAAATCATCTTGATTGTCATATGTCCCAGAAAAATGCACAGAAACATGACTAAGTGAGAAAAAAAAATGCTCTGTAAGCTAGTGTGAAAATCTTTTTGAAGGGAAAACATAAAAAACAAACTTTCCAGAAGCATTTCAGCAGTTGATGAGTCCATAAAACAGGGGCAGATAGTATAGTAGGAATGAAAGCTAAAAGGCAGTCCTTGTGAAGAATCTAGAGAAAAGGGTTCGTTTCCACATTTTTTTTTCTTTTTGGGGTGTTGGGAAGTTGAATGGCAAGAGGAATGGGAGGGTATGGAAAGTTGTTCAGTCATACTATCCAGCTCACCCATAGTCTTAAGTTTCCTCTTTTAATTGATTGGTTGGTTAATTGACTTCCCTTCATCCTTGAATCCCACTGTTTCTCCCCATCCCTGTAGTACTACTTTTTTACTAGTTCTCCAGCTACTTAAAGAAATGTTTTGTATTTTCACTGAGTGCAAAAATAATTTTTTAGGACATAATGCAAACTTTCTTTTATTTAAAGGAAAGCAAAGCAAGGAAAAGAAAACTTATGGAGGGAAAGTCTTAGAAAGGAGGAAGAAGAAAAACAAAAACGACTTCAGGAAGAAAAAACACAAGAAAAAATTCAAGAAGACGAACGAAAAGCTAAGGAGAAACAATGTAAGAATATGGCTAAAAGGTTTGATTTTCAGAGGCAAAGCAATAAGAGCAATAATAAAAGAGATCTGATGAGAAGCAAAAGAAGAAAAACAAACAGAAGATACTAATCTTGGAGTTAGATAATCTTTTTAAAGTTAAACTTGGATGAGAAGTATATAGAGATATTAAAACAGACTGAAGGTAGAAATCTGTACATAATGGGAGGAAAAAACAGCAAAGACCATGTCATGGTTTTCAAAACTGAAATAAATTGTTTTAAATATTTTACTCAACCAGTATAACTAAACTATTTTAGTGAAACAACAGTAAAATTTTAAGTAATTTTTTCCGAAGATATACTTTGTTTTTTGTTACACTTTGGAGYCTGTTCCTAAAATACCTTAATATTATATCCTCTTTCTGATGCATAAGCTTTGAATTCATATTAATGATACAATGTGTTCAAAATTTTTACAAGTTAAAGCATGTATTCTAAAAATTTAAAGTAAAACATTTTTAATCTTATCAAATCCAGTAAATTTGGAAATTCTTCTACTGTTTTTTCCTTTAGAACTATACTGATAAATCTATAAATCTTTCTTCAGCCAACCCTGTTTACTAGCTGATATTCTCATTGTGACCACCCTTTGTGTGCTTTTCTTTTGTAATATTCTGACCTCAACACGTGTCCCCTTARTCACCTTCTACTTGGCCTGCCTGCACTCCCACAGACCCACATGCGTGCTTCAGACTGAAGCTGTCTCTCTGTTTTGCTGCCTCCCATTTTACTTCAGATGAATATCCATATTTGCTTTTTTAGTGGTTATAAGTAGTGAAGATACTTAAATCCTCACAAGTCTTTAGCAAAAGGATTTTCACAATACTTTTCTATTAGATTTTAAGAGCTCTTTATTGAATCATAGCAAAGATATGAACACATGAAAACAAATTGTGATAATTTTCTTCTCTTTAGGTGAGACAGCTAGTGCTTTGGTGAATTATAAAGCATTATACCCCTTTGAAGCAAGAAACCATGATGAGATGAGTTTTAATTCTGGGGATATAATTCAGGTAGGAAATAAAGTCTTTTTTCCCTCTCATGAATAAACTAAATACATTATAATACATTGCTTTCTGTAATAATATTGATTATACTGATTTTTTTTTTTTTTTTTTTTGGTAATAGGAATTGAATCCAAAGACACTTAACCACTGAGTCACAAGCCCAATCCCCAGCCCTTTTTATTTTTTATTTTGAGGCAGGGTCTAGCTAAATTGCTTAGGGCCTGGCTAAGTGGCTGAGGTTGGCCTTGAACTTGTGATCTTCCTGTCTCAGCCTCCTTTCACTAGTATTACAGGCATGTTCCACCACACCCAAGAAATATTTTAAGAAGATAAGTAACTATTGATTTATCATTTGGCCCTACAACATACCTTAGAGCTACATGGGACAATTATTATTACTGTTATATTCTAGGAAGGAAGCTTAGACTCACACAAATTGTATCTGTCATCACAATGCCAGAGAGGGATACAAGTGTGTGTCTTTTGATTCCAGTTTCAAATCTTGTGTTSTTTCCACTATGTCATATTGCTTCACATCATAAAAAGTGATATTGATTTTGTTAATTTAATAAATTAACAATAAAATATTGAGAAGCTGGTTGTTTTTTGGCAACTGTTGAAAGAGTTGAAGGTTTTAGATGCGGGCCATTTGTTCCTTGGAATAATAGGTCTTTATTGTATTCTCATAATCCACATAAAATGGATGAATAAGAGAAGATGCAGGGAATTGTGTTTGTTAGATCCACTGTGATGCAATTCTAAAGTATAGGCTTTAGAAACACAAACTGGAATTTTAATCTCTATATAGTATGTGAATTATGTATCAGTAAGACATTATTAAAACAAAGAGCTGGGTTGGGGTTGTGGCTCAGCGGTAGAGCGCTTGCCTTAGCACATTTGAGGGACTGGGTTGGATCCTCAGCACCACATAAAAATAAATAAATTAAATAAAGGCATTGTGTCCATCTACAACTAAAAACAATTTAAAAAAGAGAGAGAGCTGGATACAGTGATATACTTCTATAATTCCAATTACTTGGGAGGATGAGGCAGGAGAATTGTAAGTTCAAGGGCAGACTATGCAACTTAGCAAGACTCTGTCTCAAAATAATTTTTTTTTAAAAAAAGATCAGGGATCATAGCTCAGGGGCAGACTGCTTGCACAAGACGTGCTTGTTAAATCCCCAGAAATGGAAAAAAAAAAAGTTAAATATGTACCTATCATATGAATCAGCCATTCCACTCTTAGGTATTTTACTTAAGAGTATTTAAAGCGTATATTCACTTAAAGACAAATGTTCTTAACCATTTTATTTGTAATAACTAAAAACTGGGAAAAACTAAAATGTCGAACGGAGGGAGTTAAAATGGTATATCCAATCAATGTAATTACATAGGAATAAATCATACTTACTGCAACATGGATAGATTTAAAAATAAATACATTAAGACAAAGAAGATGACAAAAAGGATATTGTATGATTTTATTTATATAAAACTCTAGAAAATGCAAACTAATCTATGGTGACAGAAAGACCAGTGTTTGTGTAGAGACGTGGAAGGAGCAGTAGAGGAAGGAGGGAGGACTTATAATGGAGCAAGAGGAAACTTTGGGGAATGATAGATATGTTCATTATTTTTATTATGGTGATTTTTACAGTCACATGAACATGTTAGAACATGAAATTTAGCAAGTTAAATGTGAAGTTTAGGTTAATTATACCTCAATAAGTTGTTTGTAACCAGACACAGTGGTGCACACCTGTAATCYCAGAAACTCAGGAAGCTGAGGCAGGAGGATTGCAAGTCTGAGGCCAGCTTGGGCAACTTAACTAAGAACTTCAGCAATTTAGCGAGACCCTGTRTCAACATAAGAAATTAAAAGTTTGGGGATGTAGGTCAGTGGTAAAGTGCTCCTGACCTCAAAAATGTTAATGGATTCTACATGATTTTAATAGATGTAACTCTGTCAAATCAGTGGTTTGCAAAGGTATGGGAAGTAAAGTGGAAATAAGCAGATACATACTATGCTAGATGGAGTTAATGAAAAGGCTCCACAGACAAATGGAGGAGATTATATGTACATCAATAATACTGTATGAGGGGCTGGGGTTGTAGCTCAGTGGTAGAGCACTTGTCTAGCATGTTGAGGCACTGGGTTCGATCCTCAGCACCACATAAAAATARGTAAATAAATAAAAGACATTGTGTTCATCTACAATTTTAAAAAGTTTTAAAATAATACAATATGATAATGCTGATTATGATGGTATATATAAGATAAGTGGCTGGGTTGAGGGCAAAATCTTGAAGGATGAGTGAAGGTTACAATTATCTTAGGTATTATATAATAAATTCTACCATAGGTTAGTGAGGATGGGGTTGAAAAAAGTTCAGAAGTTTTTAGTGCAAGGCTAGGAGTTTGGCTGCAGAAGTATAATAGAGGTAAGAACCACACATTTTTTTTTTTAAATTTACAATGACTAAGTCATTGGTGGTAAGAATAATAGAAATACAGAAAAATTAGGTGAAGGATGGGCCAGGGGTGAGGGGGTGTAGAGAAAAGTTCAGTCTTAGACTTCAGTTGGAAGTTTCATGGGACAGCTAGTTGAAAATATCCTGCAAGGAGTTGAAGGTGTAAGTGGAAGTCAGTTCTGAAGATAGAGCTGTAGGATTAATTATTGCAGAGGGAACTGATCAAGCTGAGGAGCAAATGGGTTTGTTAAAAACGTAGAGTGTGAGGCAAAAAAGCCAGTGATGAAACTTGTGTTAAAGGGACAGGAACCAAGAAGCAGAGCAAGAGACACTGATGAATGGAGGTTGTCTTACTAGGAGGGAAATATCTGGGAGAAGTGAAACTGGTAAATCACCTAATACATTTCTCTAGTTAGAGAACAGTATGCAGAGGTTTTTCTAGTTCTATTAGTTCAGGAGTTCTGTAATAAGCTGGATATGGTAKCACAAGGCTGTAATCCAAGGTACTTGAAATGAGACAGATGGATCACAATTTAAAGACCAGCCTCAGCAATTTAGCAAAATCTGGTCTTCAAAAAATTATTTATTTTAGCTGTTTATGGACCTCTGTTTTATTTATTTATTTATATGTGGTGTTGAGAATCAAACCCAGTGCCTCACACATGGTAGGCAAGCACTCTACACAACCCAACCCTAGCCCTCAAAAAAAWTTTTAAAATGAAAGTAGAGGCTAGGAATGTAGCTTAGTGGTAGAGCATGTGCCTCAGTGGTGGCATACATGAGGCCCTGGATCAATCCCCAGTATTGTGAAAAAAAAAAAAAAAATCTATTGGAAAATTAAAAGTTTACAAGAAAAGAAATGTAATCAGAACATTGCATGACTCAGATGTGAAATATTTACATAGTCATAACATAACATTAAATATAATTTAACCAAAAATTATGATGTAACAATATTGGCAGTATAAGAGGGTGTAGTGAAAGAGGGGTAAATTTTAATTTTTCCATAACAATATCTTATTTAGAAATATAAATGGTAATAAGGAGAAACAACTAAATGGCATGTTACTGTTAGGAATGGAAGTCAGGGCATAAGGACCCTTGAAGTGGGGCAAGATTGTTTTCTCTCATAAGCTATTAACTGTTTTCATTTATTAATTTGGATAAAATCTAAATTTAAAATAATAACGTCAATTCTTGAAATAGCAACCTAATTATTTAAAAATTATTTAGCTATTTAGTTAAATGGATTTAATTCTGTAAAAGAGAATATTATACAACAATCTGCATATTTTTCCATTATAAATGTGTAGATTTCTAAGCACTGTTCACCTCTTTGTTTCTATAGGTTGATGAAAAAACTGTAGGAGAACCTGGTTGGCTTTATGGTAGTTTTAAAGGAAATTTTGGCTGGTTCCCCTGCAATTATGTAGAAAAAATGCCATCAAGTGAAAAAGCTGTATCTCCTAAGAAGGCCTTACTTCCTCCTACAGTATCTTTATCTGCTACCTCAACTTCTTCTGAGTAAGTTTTGAGCTAACAGTGGGATTTATATAGTTCTACCAACTAATGTAGTATGCTAATGTGGAGCGGGTCCACCTGATGCTTCCTTGTGTTGTTAATCTGGGCTGTACTCCCCAAAGAGAACCTTTTTTATTCCATATCTAATGCTGAAAATTTAAAAAGGAAAACATAAGTCAGTAGTTTTTTCATGAATTCTCTTTTTCCACAAATTATGTTTAGTGTATATAATATACAAATGGGTAGTACACTTGTAAATATAGTATGTATTAGGGAGACCATATTAGTCTATAAAAATTGATAGTACTTTATTTAATTTTTAAACAATTAAGTATACTTACATTAAAGTGTTACGTTTGCAGACCACTTTCTTCTCAACCGGCATCAGTAGCTGATTATCAAAATGTATCTTTTTCAAACCTAACTGTTAATTCATCATGGCAGAAAAAATCAGCTTTTACTCGCACTGTGTCCCCTGGGTCCATATCACCTATTCATGGACAGGTATGTTATTCATAATTTTTGTGTGCTATTCTTTGAATTTGCTTCTGATTCATATGAAACAGAATAAAGATTTTTGTACAAAAACATCATTCACTCATTTAACTAGAGTTTGTAGCATTTGGTTTCTGTTCTTACCATTCACTTGTGGTGCAAAGTTAAGGAGTGATTATTACCTAAAGGATTCTCATCAATGATTCATTCCCATAGTATCAAGTAGAAGATAAGCTGTTTGGGGCTTGAGGGTTTTTTGTTGTTTTTTCTTAAATTTAAGTAGTTTGAGAACCCTGGAAAATATATATGTATACATATATAAATTTTACATACATACACATATATATGTACACATATATATATATAATATATACATATATTTATTTATAACTTCTGATTTAGATATAAACATTCAAAGTATTGATACATTAACATTGTTAAAAAGAAATTTCAGACTCCATTAAAATAAAGCCCTACAGATTCACTCAGGAACRTTTATTACATGATTATAGGTTCCAGCATTTTATTATGAAGTAGAAATTTAAGGAAAAATAAGTCAAAATACCTTTCAGTTAGTAATTCATAAATTAATAAAGGAGACAGATATAAATAAGTGTAAAATGTGAGAAATTATATAAAGATATCTCCAAATCCCCGAGGGGGAGAGAGCATGTTGTTCAATCTGTGTGAATTGGAGCAGTCTTTTTGAAGGGAATGTATTTTAGTGGGACCATCAAAGATAAGCCAGATTTTACCAAACTGAAGGGGAGTTACTCAAGTGGAAGATCAGTTTGAGAAAAGTCACTGAGGCACTTTAATGCACAGTGTTTGCAGGAAGCAGGAAGAAATATATAGTATAGCTRTAATACAGGGTTCATGGAGAAGTGAAACTGGAGAGGTTGAGGTTTATTAATAAGGGAAGCATTTACCACCCTGCYAAGCAACTTGTCAGTGAAAAGCCAAGAAAGGTTTTTAAGAGAGGAGTTGAGGTATATGCTTAAGAAGGATAACCCTGGCAGTGACGTAGAGGCCAGACTGGCAGAAAGAAGCAAAGCAAGGGAAACCGTTATGGCAGGCTGTTAAGCAACTAAGTAACAAGAGATGCTGGTGTGAACCAGGGTATAGTCATGAAAATAGAAGAGGAGATGGCTTTAGAAAAGTGTTAGGACTTGACACGAAATAGATAGCCCATTGAATGTGGAGAGTGAGGAAGATGGAGATAAAGATAATTCTTCAGAATCTTCAGCTTGAGCAACTGAAAGGACAGTGATAAGTTGTCTTCAGTAGGCAGTGGATGAGGAGTGGGTTTGAGGGGTTCTAAAAATGGTTATGTTTCAGACAGGCTAAGTTCAAGGTATATGTAATAGACAACCTGGCAGAAATACTAGTAGGCATTTTGATGTAGAAACTGGAGCTCAGGAGGTAAAGTTATCCTGAAAATACAGATTTGAGGTCTTGGGCTAACATGAGGTTATTTAAGGAAAGCATGTAGAATAGTGAGGGATGAGGGCTGGACAGAAGAGGAGCCCTCAGTCACCAGGGGGCATGCTTCAGGAACTACAAGGGTTTTAGTGATGTCAGCACTGCGCAGAGATCAAGGAGAATAAAGATTTCTGAAGGAACTTTTTGTTTTGATGTCATTATCAATAACCTTTTCTGGAAGAGGTTCAGTAGAATGATGGTGCAGAACCTAAATTAGAAGGGATCAAGGGGTGACACTGGAAAGCAAGTTGAAGACTATTTCTTTCCAAATTTAGAAGTAGAAGAAAGTAGAGAAGTAACAAAGGGAATTGAAGGCTGCAGAGAGGAATTTAATTTTACAGAATATTTTTAGAAAGTGAAAGGGCATAATGGAATATTTATAGGACAAGAGAAGAGGTTAACTTTATTAAAGGAACAAAAAATTTCCTTCCTCTGAGTGACAAAGAAAAAAGAATGAACATGAATTTGAACAAGTGAAGAACTAAAAAGAAGAGGGAGGTTGAGCATAACTCCATCTCCATGCCTGCTGGAGTAACTAAGTCAACTGCAGTTAGGAGGCACCAGAAGCTGGAGGAGAGGAAAAGATTTGTAGCACCTCTTTCCCTTTGTTCCATGATATATATGAATGATGGGTTTATGAATACTTCTTTAGTACTCACTGTTTACCTTCTGTACCAGTAATGATATTTCCTTAGATAGTAGGTATTCAAGAAGGTTACACATTGTTCTTTTAATTTGAAGTCAGTCAGTAAATTAAGATTATGTCACCTAGTCTACTGTTAAAATAATAATTATAACTATATTATGTATGAGGAAACAGAAATCTTGGTTGCTATGGTCTTGCATTTCCTTGTTTGTGGCTCAATGTTCATTGTGGCTCAATGTTCATAACGGCTCAGTTCACAATAGCTAAGCTATGGAACCAACCTAGGTGCCCTTCAATAGATGAATGGATAAAGAAAATGTGGTACATATACACACTGGAATATTACTTGGCCATAAAGAAGAATGAAATTATGGCATTTGCCGGTAAGTAGATGGAAGTGGAGACTATCATGCTAAGTGAAATAAGCCAATCCCCCAAAACAAAGGCCAAATGTTCTCTCTGATATGCAGATGCTGACCCCCAATAGACTAGGGAGTGGGAGTGGAGGTTCACTGGATTGGACAGAGGAATGGGGGAAAGTGAGGGGAGATGAGAATGGAAAAGACAGTAGAATGAGTTGGACATAACTTTTCTATGTTCATATATGAATACATGACCAGTGTAACTTCACATTATGTACAACCACAAGAATTGGAAGTTATTCTCTATGTATGTGTGATATGTCAAAATACATTCTACTGTCATGTATAACTTATAAGAACAAATTAAAAATACTTGTTTGTGGCTTTATATTCGTAGGGACAGGTTGTAGAAAACCTAAAAGCACAGGCACTTTGTTCCTGGACTGCAAAGAAAGATAATCACTTGAATTTCTCAAAACATGATGTTATTACGGTCTTGGAACAGCAAGAAAACTGGTGGTTTGGGGAGGTGCATGGAGGAAGAGGATGGTTTCCAAAATCTTATGTCAAGATCATTCCTGGAAGTGAAATAAAGCGAGAAGAGTAAGCATGCCGGGTGTCCCGCGGGGTGTGGGTGTCGGTGTTCCATTAATGAGCCAGCCATGGTCTGACTGACTGTGTGATAAAAGAAAAAGTTCATGCTGAAGTTTGAATATCAGAAAGGTAATTCCTGGGGCGATAAGAGCATACTTCAGATGTTTGTGCCAGTTTTATAATAATCTTTCATTCTACTCATTTCAAATTCATGAAGTTTTCAAAGTACTGTATTTAGAATTTTAGATGTGTACCTGAAGATCAACTAGAAAAGCAACTTTGCATTTCCTTGGAGCATTTCTCCCTTGTTTACTATATTTTTTCAGTATTTAAACAATTCTTTGCTTAGGTACTCCCCTTTACCAGATTGGGGCATTCCCTCTGGGCCTCTAGGGTTCCTTAACACTAATCTCTCCATTGCTTATACCTACATCCTTTTAAGTCATGAGATATGTTACTTATTTTTCAGCTTTTCTATGCCTATTAGTCTTAATGCATAGTAGCTACTGAATTATATTAGCTCAAGGAATGAGGAAAGAAGAAAAAGAAATGCATTTTCAAATGAACAAAACTAAAAACTAGATAGGTTAAGATCTCTGACCTTTAATTCCCAGTAAAAGTCCAATTATCAAATATCTTTAATACAAGGAAATAAGCACTAAAATAAAGCTGAGTTAACTMTCTCTGTTTGGAATTTGATCTAAATAGAAAAGCAGTGTAACATAATGAAAAGGTACTGGTTTTGGAAATAAAGAGACTTGAGTTTGATTCTGCYGTTTTTTTGCCAGACGATAAGAAGTAACCTATTTGGTCTGCAGTTTTCTAATTGATTGATGAAAAGATTAACTAATCTTTAAGAATATTTTTAGTGCTGAAGTTGTTTATCAACATTTAGTTCAAATGTAGAAATTTACTGACRTGAACTTTTGGAAGCRTGAAATAATAGCACTAACAACAGTACATAGTTGACATCTGTGTGCTGTGTGTTACACCCTTTTTAAGAATTATCTTATTTAATTCCATAGCACTTGACAGAAAAGAAAATGTAAGCAAAAGGAGATTAAGTTTAATTGTGTTAGAAGGCATTTCTTCTAACTTTCCATTCTGTAACTGACCTTTCAAGTTGAAAGGTAAATCTTTCAACTTGAAAGCCTGCACTAATGAAGAATCAGCACTAATGAAGGCARCCCCTCCAGTTGTAGCATGAGATTTAGTAAGGTTCCTTCTTTGTTGGCTTGAAAACTGCCTTACTATATAATTTACTCATGGGACCTGGGGAGCCTTTGTGCATCCCTCAGGTATCTAGTCTTCAACATTCCGCAGGTATCTGGTTGACCAGTCTTCTAAATTTTTGAAAAGTTTCTCAGACTAAAATGGAAATTGTTACACATATTCTGATACTTTTAAAAATTTTTTAAATATTTTTAATGTAATACATTCTAAACAACTAATAAAATTCATATATTGCCCTCACTTTCCTCTAAACCAAGCCAAGTGCCTTATGTGCTTTATCAAAAGACTTCCCTTTTACCGAAGTCCAGTTGTCTCAAAAGCTCCTTCAGAAAGGCAAAGTACCTCACATTTGAAAAACTATAAATCGTATTGAAGTTACTTTAGTGGATTTTAAAAAAAAWTTTTTTAGTTGTTGATGGACCTTTATTTTATTTGCTTATTTATATGTGGTGCTGCGAATCGAATATCGTGCCTCACGTGTACAAGGCAAGTGCTCTACCACTGAGCTACAACTCTAACCCTACTTTAGTGTTTTTAAAACATTTAAGTTTATAATTAGGCAGTTCTTATTTCAGAAGGATTTTATTTATTTATTTATTTTTATTTTTTGAATTTGAATATAATAATTTATTTTTTTATATCAAATCTTTCTTAACTATGTGCTTTCTTTTCTTTTTTTAAGATTCTGTTTTATTTTATTTATTTATTTTTATTAGCTACACATTACAGTACAATGATCTTGACCATTCATACATTTGAATCAAATGGGGTATAATTTCTCATTATTTATTTTTATGTGATTCGATTCTCAGTACCACATAAAAATAAATAAATAAAATATGAGAGCATTTGTAGTCTGAATATTAAGACAGTATTTAGATTAATTTGAGGAAGCCCCAAAGGAATTCACTGATGAAAACTGCTATATCCATCAAATCACCTTTCTTGTTTTTTGCTTGTGGTTTTTTCTGTTGTTGTTGTTAATTTGTTTGTGTCTTTATTTGGCAGGCCAGAAGCTTTATATGCAGCTGTAAATAAGAAAGCTACCTCCACAGCCTATCCAGTTGGAGAAGGTAAGCTTTTGCCAATTCGTAAATCAGATAGGGGTCAGTTTAGCTACTGGCTAATTATTTAACTATGCACAATTGTTGTTCTCTTGTTTCTGTGTCTTTGGTATTAAAGTAGGTTAGAAAACCTGCCCATGTCTACTTCATATGAATATTGACSATATAAAAAATATGATTGATAGTACTTGGCACTTTTCGAAAGTCAGTGCTATAAAAATTCAGCCTAGATTGGCTCAATAAATAAGATTACAAATAAAAAATGTTTTGATGATTGATTATATAGGTATTTAGGAAGTAATGAAATTTCAGTACATTAGTTTATAATTAAACTGCATTTTGCTTAGTGTGCCAAATAAATAAATAGGATTTGAAGTCAAGGAACCCTTTGTTATAAATATTACAAAGAAATTTTTACTATAGTACTTTGTATTGTTTGGTTAAGAAATTTTGATTATGTTAATGGGATGAAAAATCAAAGATTGTCTACCCTAATTTCAGGTAATATTTGATTTAACAGCTATATAGATTTTATAAATGAAATATATTTTCCATTATAAAATTAATTGACTAGTTGAAGTGTATTTTATTTTGCTTAAAAAGTAAATTTTGGGGCTGGGGTTATGGCTTAGTGGTAGAGCACTCACCTGGCATGGGTGAAGTACTGGGTTTGATTCTCAGCAACATATAAAAATAAATAAATAAAATAAAGGTATTGTGTCCAACTACAACTAAAAAAAATTAAAAAYAAATACGTAAATTTAATGGCAAATGAAATTTTATTCAGTAACCATTAAGTTGAGTATTCTATTTTAGAGCCTGAAAGACACAATAATAAATAATATATAGTCTCCAAMGTGCTCACAATAGAATGAAGAGGATAAGCCTATAGTTATGATAAATTCTACAATGAGTGAACAAAAACCATTTTGAGAAGGACCTATGAATAGCAATGTTGCATCATCTTAAACAAAAAGTAAAGGACTTCTGGACAGAGGGAAGAGAATGAATCAAGTTAGGGCCATGAAGTTGAGGGAACTTTAAATCACCAGTTAGGCTGCAGCTATAGGTGTACTGTGAATGAGTGCTCTCAGACAGGCCTAGGAAAATAGTGAGGAGCATTTTGGAAATTACTTAACTTATTACAATTTAAACATTTTAGTTGCTTTTTGATATATCAGCTAAGTTAGTAGCAGGAATGAATGTGAAGAGTAGATAGATTATAGATGGTGTTTCTCATCCTTTCTAGTATGATAAAAGATCAAATTGCATGTTAGCAAATATAAATAAAACTTAAAAAGAAAGAAAAAGACTTCTAAAGCATAGTCACTGTTTTTTCTAAATAATAACAATCACAGGAACAAAAAACAAAGCCAATGTAGAAACTTAGACATTTCCCTCAAGGTAATTCATTAATAGTTATTTGTTGAGCATCTGCTTGGAGCCAACCACTATGCTTGAAGCTGGGTCATTGTGATAGGTCTTGGCTTCTGGTACCACTGTCTGCTAGATATTGGGCATTTCCATAACTRTATATATAAAAGAAAGAACAAGGAATTTAGCAGATTAAAATACATTTTGTAAAAGGAAGTTAACATTTTTTTCATATCTTGCTTGACTCCATTATCTCATATTGAGTAACTTAATCGTATTAAGCCTCAGTTTCATTGTCTATGGATACTAAATAACTCTTTGTAGTTTTAGGTAATTCTTTATGATTAAAAAATAATGGTGATTATAACAAGGCTGTTGGAACTCATGGAAAAGCTTTATGTTAAATAACCTTTTACTAAGCAATTGTTAAGTAATAACTTCCATTCCTTTTCCTATCTTCAGATCTTTTTGTATTGGGTTTTCTTAAGACATAGAGGTCTTTTACAGTAAACTTACACAAGATCCTAGAGATTAACCTAATTTCTTCTTTTTATTTCTATAAAATCAGAATTAAAATCTACTTCCTTTTGCTTTATTCCCTACAGAATATATTGCACTTTATTCATATTCAAGTGTAGAACCAGGAGATTTGACCTTCACTGAAGGTGAAGAAATACTGGTGACCCAGAAAGATGGAGAGTGGTGGACAGGAAGTATTGGAGATAGAACTGGAATTTTTCCATCAAACTATGTCAAACCAAAAGATCAAGAGGTATTAAAAACAAAATCACTCCATTCTTGTTGATCAAGATTAGTATTTAAAACAGAGTTCATATATGGTTTTGACCAGGCTACTTGCTTACAAGGAAACTACTCACACTAGCTCCAGTACCAGAGTTTATTTTAGGCATCCAATTAAAGAAATAAGARGGACAGGATTTCATGAAATTCGAAGAACAAAAACCACATGTAGCATTAAGCCTCATGATCACTAAAAATAAGGAGTGGTTCTGGACTCTCAGCAGAGTTTACAAAGGACCACCTTGAAGGAGTCTGTAAATCTTTACTTTAAGACTCTAACATTAGTGTAATTCATCTTACACTCTGAAGTTCCTGCTTCTTTTCATCCCATAATGTTGTACAGAAGTTCTTAAGASTTTTTATGTACTTAAAATTTTTTAAGGGCTGAGCACGGTGACACACACTAGTAACTCCAGAGGCTGAGACATGAGGGTCGCAAATTCGAGGCCAGCCTTAGCAATTTAGTGAGGCCTCTGCAACTTAGCTAGACCCTGTCTCAAAAAACATAAAATRAAAAGAACTGGAAAAKCATCCCAGTGGTAAAGCTCCCTTAGGTGAAAGCCTTAATAAATAAATAAATAAGTTGCCGGATCTGGTGGTACATGCCTGTGCCTATAAATCCCAGGAGCTTGGGAGGCTGAGGCAGTAGGTTCACAAGTTCAAAGCCAGCCTCAGCCCAAAGCAACTCAGCAAGACCCTGTCTCTAAATAAAACATTTTTAAAAGTGGGGGCACTCACTGGTTAAGCACCACTGGGTTCAATTGCTGGTACCAAAAAAAAAAAAAATTGAGTACAGAAGGTTTCTTTTTAAGTATATCGGTTATATCTAGTGATATTTACCACAAATCGAAACTGAAATTATTTAAACATTTATTTAAACATTTACTCATTTAAAGCCATTATATAATAACATAAATAATTCACTTTTTATGAAAAGCAACTGTATTTTTCAAAAAAATTAGACGAGTGGCATTATTTTATATTTTTGACAAAAATCTTCAATGTCTCGCCTAATGGTAGATAGCTAGATGCTCATGTTTCTGTGTTCAATCTGATGTGATATGTTCTTTTGATTGAAGTATGTGAACAAAATTCAACCTGATACCAAGAGTGGAGAAATGGAGAAGTATTTTAATGTTTGCAAATATCTGTGAATATTCTCTTTGATTCTGTTACACCAAAACTTGATGAATGTTTATGTTTATAAAGCACCAATTAGAAAACAGTAAATAAATAGAAGACCAGTAGAACAGAGGAAGAGGAGCAGGGAAGGGTGGAGAGGAGGGAAAGTAGAGGAGGTAGAGGAGGTAATGGAGAAAATGATATTCATACATGTGTGAATGTGTCAAAATAAATCTCACTGTTGAAAAACTAGGGGTGGAACCACAATATGACCCAGCTATCCCTCTCCTTGGTATTTTCTCATAAGATCTAAAATCAGTGTACTACAGTGGCATAGTCACATCAGTGTTTGTAGCATAATTCACAATAGCTAAATTATGGAATTGACGTAGATGTCTATCAGTAGATGAATGGATTAAGAAATTGTGTATACACACACACACACACACACACACCATGGAGGTACACTCAGCCATAAAAAAGAGTAAAGTGGATGGAGAATATCATGCTAAGTGAAATTAGCCAAACTCAGAAACTAAAAGGTCAAATGTTTTTTCTCATATGCAGAAGCTAGAGTAAAATAAAGGAAAGAAAAGAAGGGTAGGATAACATAAAGAACAAAATTCAGGGGCTGGGGTTGTGGCTCAGTCGTAGAGCACTCGCCTAGCACATGCAAGGCACTGTGTTCSATCTTTAGCACCTCATAAAAATGAATAAATAAAAATAAAGGTATTTTTAAAAAAGAACAAAATAMAAATTAATAGGGGCTGGGGATGTAGCTTTGTTGGTAGAGTTGTTGCCTCACATGCACAAGGCCCTGGGTTCAATTCCCAGCACCACAAAAAACAAACAAAMAAAAAAAACCAAATTAATAGACAAGTGAAAGAAAGTCTAGTAGAATAGGAGAAGGAGAAAGAGAGGGAAAGGAGAATGGGAGGAAAAAGGGGAAATCATGAGCTGAAATCAATTTCCATGCACATACTGAGTTTGTCAGGGTGAACTTAACTCCTATGTATAATAAAAAATAAATAAAGCTCTAATCAAAACTGGAGGCAATCATAATTGCTTAATAGTATTATTGTGAAAACTAGTTTTAAAAAATTTTTTTAGTTGTAGATGGACATAATACCTTAATTTTATTTATTTATTTTTTTATGTGGTRCTGAGGATCAAATCCAGTGCCTCACACATTGTAGGCAAGCGCTCTGCCACTGAGCTACAACCTCAGCCCATGAAAACTAGTTGACTAGTGTGATCTCTTAGAGTAGTGCCTGTTATACAGTACTGAAAAAAATGTTAACATTTACTGCCATCAACTCTGTGTAATACTTTTACTGCAGCTGTGTATCCTAAGAAAAAAATTCTTTTTGATCCCATCCCTTTTTTTTCTTCGATTTCTATAAAATAGGAAATACGTTTGGTCCAATTTATCTTTTAACATTAAACAGAAATCAGAGTTTGTCTACCCACGGTGTGGTATTTTTGTTTTTAAAACAGTTCAATTGGTATAATGGTAACCTGGTTAAAAAAAAAAAAAAAAGTGCCTCTTACTCAGCAGGAGCTATAGGGTGAGTCAGGGTCCCTAGAGAAAGCAGGAACAAACTCACTTGTGTCTAAACATATCCAGGACACACGTGTTGTATTTAGTGGGCATTGATGTTAATCCCATTAATGACTGGGGTGCACTTGGCCTAGATATTCCTGTTTAATATTCAAGAAAGATTGAGATAATGAGCCYTTTTTGTTTGAGTCAGTGATGACATCACCCACTTGCATATTATATATTCCAYTAACCGACCAGATCTCCTTGTTGGATTCTTATTTGGTTTATGTAAGGTTAATTATCATTTTGAGTTGCATTTAAAGAAAGAAAAATCCTGGGAATTAGAATTCTTTAAATCCCAGTAACCTTTGTACTTTTACCTCTGGATTGTTGGAAATGATTTTTTTAAAAATGTCTCTTTCTTGTAGAATTTTGGGAGTGCTGGAAAATCTGGAACATCAAACAAAAAACCTGGTATGTATAATAGTGAGCTTAAAAAATTACTGAAGTGTTTACTGTGTCATATCTTGAGTTCATAATTCTGTTTTTCTTCTTTTCAGAGATTGCTCAAGTAACTTCAGCTTATGTTGCTTCTGGTGCTGAACAGCTTAGCCTTGCACCAGGGCAGTTAATATTAATTTTGAAAAAAAACGCAAGTGGATGGTGGCAAGGGGAGTTACAGGTAATATTTTTAACATCTGTTGATCTTATTACAAAAATAATGCTTGCTCATAAAAAAAATCAATAAAAATTTTGTATCACCCATAATCAGTACCAACATTATAGCATATTACATTTAGTGTACTATGTTTCCCTCTAGTCRTCGTCATCTTTTTTTTTTCTTTTTGTAGCTGTAGATGAACAGAATGACTTTATTTGTTTATTTTTATGTGGTGCTAAGGTTCAAATCCAGTGCCTAACACATGCTAGCAAAGTACTGTCCTACTGAGCCACAGCCACAGCCCCTCCCTCTAGTCTTTTGTCTCTTCATTTTTAGTACAATTGAGTTGATATAATTATAAGTAATAATTGAAAGAACAATCTTCTCTGAAGACAGTTGTCTTCCAATAATGCATGCCTTACTAAAACCTCAATCACCTTCTTAAAGGAAAGCATAGCATCATCTTGGCCTGGGATAGGCCCAGGTGTAGTCTGCCCTCTAGGAGAAAGACCTGATTCAGGMAGTGTACTCAGAAAATAATGCATTGCACTGTCCTCCAGTAATCTTAGGTTTTTGAAGCAGCAGTGCAGGGAAACAGAATTCAGACCTAAGTGAGTCTGTTTTTTTCTAAAAATGTCAACAGATGGCTGCAGCATATGTTTTGAGAGAGAAAGAGCACTATTCTCTCAGTTCTAAAATGTCCTTACTAGTTTTTTAGGGTTGAATGATGAGCGGTATAACTATATTTTTATATAAAATTAATAATGGTTATTAATGCAGAGATAAACATAGCTTCATTCTTGCAAATCAAAATCTTATGACTCCTAGAGATCAGTGGGGGCCCACAACTCCCATAAACTAAGACACTTATCAGTCAGAATATGCCAAGGATTTAGAGATGGTTACCTCCCAGTAGCCCAGTGCAGACACCTGACCTATCTTTGAACAAGATTAAATTATTTATTACATGGCCAAGATTTCTGTAATTTTTCAAGTTATGTCTCAGTGATTGTTTCTGATCTCATCTTTAAATTGTGTATTTCTTTTGCTAATTCCATAGGCCAGAGGAAAAAAGCGTCAGAAGGGATGGTTTCCTGCCAGCCATGTTAAACTTTTGGGTCCAAGCAGTGAAAGAACCACACCTGCCTTTCATGCTGGTATGAAAATGGATTAATTTGTACTTCATCTTGGAGAGCTTTGTTAAAACTCATCAACTTCTTAGACTAACTCTTTGGAAGATGAAAAATGTGTCCCCTCCATACATCTGCTTAAAAGTAACATGCCACTGATAACTTCCTTTCTGAAAAGTTCCATGTAGGAACAGCCAACTGCTCGTTGATAACTTAAGCCACTTTACTCCTTGAAATTTTTCAACATGGAATTCCTACACCATTGTATTTAAAGTGAAGCAGTTCTCTTGGATTTTTAACCAGAATTTGTTAATTCTTCTTTTTGTAAGACAAGAAATGTGGGCAGGAAGGTAGGAAAATTTTAGCCTATTTTAATATTGAATGTTGGGGTAATTTAAATTCTAGAAATTTTTGTTTTTGTTTTTTTCTCTTTCACATTTTTTATTGGTACATTTTAGTTGTATATAATCAGGGGATTCTTTGTTATTTATTCATATATGCACACAGTTCAACAATATAATCTGACYTATATGACTCCCCAACACTTCCCTCCTTCCTCCCCTCCTCCCACCCCCTTGTCCCTTTTCTCTACTGATTTACCTTTGATTTTCATGAGATTCCCCATTAAGAATAGTTTTGATCCTTGTAGGATAATTAATTTGTTTAATTATTATTTTTGATAGTATGTCAGGTGATTGCCATGTATGACTATGTTGCAAATAATGAAGACGAGCTCAACTTCTCCAAGGGACAGCTTATCAATGTTATGAACAAAGACGATCCAGACTGGTGGCAAGGAGAAGCCAATGGAGTAACTGGTCTCTTTCCTTCAAACTACGTTAAGATGACGACAGACTCAGATCCAAGTCAGCAGTGTGAGTAATATCAAATTATTTACCTCGCATCTGGTGTGAAAACCTTAATATGCAGTACAACATTTATTACTGCCCTAGATCAGCTCTTAAACTCAGCACTCACAGCAAATGTAGATTAATGTTTAAAGAAAAATCAAAAGGAGACATTTTACAAGATCAAAAGTTACACTATTTTAAATACTTTTTCCTAGCCTTCAACCTTAATTTTAGATTTTATCTGAAAAAATGTATAGGGGCTGGGGTTGTGGCTCAGTGATAGAGCACTTGCCTAGCATGTGTGAGGCACTGGGTTTCATTCTTAGCAGCACATAAAGATAGATAGATAGATAGATAGATAGATAGATAGATAGATAGATAGATAAACAACTTATAAAAATATTTTTTTAAAAATTTTTTTAAATGTATAATTTCTCTTATGGGTTCTTTGGTGTGATATCCATCTACACTGCAGCTTCCCTTCACCATCAACTTCTTTTTTCAGTGTCCAGTGCTCTTTTTCAGCTTAACAAAATATAGCAAGTAACTATAATTGCCCTATCCATCTATTCAGAATTAGCCTTTTAGTGTACAGATGCCATTAATTTTGCAACCTTCTCATTTATTTCCCAGATATTTATTCATCRTCTAGGTTGGAAGAAAATTAAATAAGCTGTTTAAACTGTTTGCAAAACCCTCATTAGGTGATTCTTTAGATAGCCACTTCATGCCACTGAAAAAAATGTATGAATCAAGATCTGTTTTACTATTTTCAGAACAGTGGTCCAGACCTCAGAGTGTGAAATTTGGTATTATATAAAATTATCTCACTAGACTTAATGGTGCATGCCTATAATCCCATCAATTCAGAAAGATCTCAAATTCAAGGCTAACATGGGCAATTTAGCCAGACCCTGTCTCAAAATAAATGGGCTGGGGGTGTATCTCAGTGATACAACACCCCTGGGTTCAATCCCTAGTAACCGCCCCCTCCCAAAAACAAAGCTGTATGTAGTGGTGTGCATTTGTAATCCCAGCAACTCAGCTCAGAAGAATCAAGTTCAAGGACAGCCTCAGCAATTTAAGCAAAACCCTGTCTCAAAATTTTTTAAAGGAAGGTGAGGGGCTAGAAATAGAGCTCAGTGGTAGAGTGCCCCTAGGTTTAATTCCCAGTACCAAAAAAAGAAAAACAACATCTCTTAGTAGTTACCTATCCTTTATAGTTGACAGTAAACACAGTATTAATAATAAATTAGGGAATAAGCCATACTTGGAAATAAATTTTTACTTTTATAAAATGTATATTATTTTTCCCTATCCTTTCAATTTTTAATTTTGTTTACAAAATAAGTCATGATTTATATTTTATCACTGTAGTGAAATAATTAAGATTTAGTCTTTCATTTTCTTTTAGCTGCTGAGAACACATATGTGGTAACTCAATCAAAACTGAGATATATTTGTGATCCAGTTGCACACTGAATAGTTATTCTTTACCACATCTGTGTTTTCACTGTAGAGCTTTGTAAAGATAGTTCTGATCTTGGGAGAAAGTAYGCCTTTAGTAAATCAACTAAATCTTCAAATTTGGAAAGAGGAAGAGTCCAGGTTTCAGGAGAAGTGGTAAAGAAAATGGTAATAATTTAGATTGCCTGATGAATGGCCATTTTTAAGTTCTGCTGATAATTTTTCAGTTTCCAGTGATAAATTAGAAATCCATTTATAATTAGAATTACCTGCAGCACCTTTCTGGGAGCTGAGAGTGGTTGATACTTTGAAACTTAACTGTGCTGAAAGATCTTTGCTAGTGATCTCTGATTAATTCCATCCTCTCTGTACATTTAGCTTTTGTAGCATCTATGATCTAAAGTGATGTTTTTTAAAATTTTTGTTAGTTATTTTTAATCTCATTTTCCAGTGGTGAAATACTTTTTTTTTTCCAATTAAGCCTCATTCAATGAGGAATATAAATAACAGATAAAAGCTTATTCTAAAGGAAGAGCAGCATCATGTCCCATTCTTTTCCTTTCTTTCCCCTTATTCCATGACAGTCCTTTCAGGTTCCCTTCTAGGGAAATTAACCTTTGCAGGAAGTTGTGACAACTTTTTATTCTTAAACAGCATAATAGGTTGCCAATAAATTGTTCAATACACAAACGATACAGAAAATAGATAATCAAACTAGTTATCCATACAGATTACTTTTGGTCAGAGAATGCTTTGTGTACCACTCTTGTGTGGGTAGAACTGGCAGAGCTTCAGTCTGCCTGAAGTGAGGCCCCCATCTGTGAAGTTCTCTCGGATAGAACTTTCTATAGTGACGGAAAGAGTCTATATTTGCACCATCCAGTACAGTGGCCACTAGCCACATGTACCTTTTGAGCATCTGGAGTGTGGCTAATTAATTAAACCTAAATAGTCACTTGTGGCCGGTGGCTACTGTATTGGGCAGCACAACTTTAGAAGACAACCACTTTCAAGCCTTCCCTGAAGGAAAATAAGAAATAGCAATTTTGAAACATAGAAATAAGAAAAGGCAAAGTAAATGACCTACACAATAATTTTAAAGGAACAAAATTTCTATGTGCTTCAGATTTTATTTTTTATGATGTTTTCAGATTTTATGTCAACATTTCTATTCATTGAAAAAATTTATTCATTTCATAAATATTCTTTAAATGTCCTCTACATACTTAAAAGCATTGGGAATATAAGCACAAAAATCCTTGCACCAATGCTTCAGTCCTTGRTGTGAAATAGATTAAGTGGTGGAGAACAGACATTCAGATAAGTATAACAGTGGCTATAAAGAGTATTTATACAAATAGGGGATTTTCCCTAATCTGTGTTGGGGAGAAGGCATGTCATCATTGGAAGACTTCACAGAGGGCTTTTAATCTGGAACATGAAGGACAAGTAGTAACAGTTTGCTAGAAAGGCAGATGTTGGGGATGGGAGGAGGCACCAGTTATTTTCTTGATCATTTTACATATTGAGAGCTGGGAAAATAGAATGCTTGAGGTATTATTTCAAAATAGAAGAAACTTTGAAGTTCTCTTTGTTATAAATTTATTACAAGTAACTTAACCTTTTACCTTATTTTTGGTTGAGATATATATATATATATATATATATATATATATATATATATATATATTTAATTTGAGTATATTGAAAAACTGAATACTTTATTGTTTTGCCTCAACTAATGACCAACAGTCATCATCCTTCCTGGAATAAAAGAGCTCTCAATTCTGTAATTCTCAAGACAATTCACAAATAGATTCTTCTAAGAAAGCTTCTTGTTTGAATAAAACAACCATTTAAATCACCTAGGAGACCAAAGAATATCAGTTTTGTTCACTTGCAATAATTATTTATTAGAAACTTAAGAGTCATAATTGCTTTTTCAAAGATGAAAAATAGAGTTAACTGTATTGGTAGCTATGAAATTCACATTGAGTTTATATAAACCCATAACTTTAGTAGGAAATGGTTCAGAAAATGTTTAATCCTTAAAGATAGGAAGTGATTTGAGACCTTTTTTACACTATCTAGATTTTTAGAAATGAATCATCTGTCTATAATCTTTGCATGAGGCTTTAAGAGCTGGTTAAATTATAGATTACCATTTGTGTTTCTCTGGCCCTTGTAAGTATTATTTTCATTTTATTATGTAACTAGAACATTTTTAAAGATTGAGATTTTTAATAGTTCAAATTTGTTTAGTTGATGTTGCATGTTATTATTAGTCAAATTTTTTCTCACCCACCTAATTTGCGTTATGTTCATTTTATTCCTCATTTTTCTTTTTTTAGGACCCAATGTTGTCTTCCAGTTGTGAAAGCACCCCAGAGACCCACTATCCAAGTTTGACTCTAGCGTGGAGTCAGGGCAGGCAGCCCTGATCAAATATCTCCTACACAATTCATTTACTTCGTTCGAATGTTAGAGCCACTTGTGATTATTTCTTTGTGTTTCTGATTTACAGTTAAAATTTATTTGTAACAAGTTCAAGGATAGTGGGTCTTTGTGTGGCTTTCCCTGCTGTTCACTCTGGCATCCTTTAGCATTTTTCTTCTTTTTTAATTTGGCAATTGTAGGTCATTAGCATGCATATTGAGTTTGCCCTTACATGGTGGGAGTTCAAACACACAAAGACCCACTATTTGCACAAACTATTCTCTCTGGTTTGGAATGGGCTGCCATGCTTTTCTAGTATTATTGCAACATGTATGTTCATTACAGAATTGAGGTGAAGTTTTCTTATGTTCCACTATTATGTTTGATCTAATCCTAAACACAATGAGCCCTTAATTGGCTCACTCGGTGATCTGCCCTGAAATATGCACTGTATATTACTTTCTAATATGCCACTATATGAGTGTCAATATTCAGATTGTTGAAAGGCCAAGAMCTGGAAATAACATTTTCTCTATTTTTTTGTGTAATTGGAGTGGGAGCAATAACATTTAGGTAGAGCTTTTCTTATCTCACAGAAGAGGAAAGTGGCCTGCTCTGGTGGGTGTGTGCTTAGTGGGCTGTGTATGTTTAGTCTGCTTCAACTGCCCAAGAATAAGCACTGTACTTTGGTAGTTCCTATAGGATCTTTGTGTGCTCTGGGCTGATGAAGATACTGTATCATGAGCTGTAGCATTTAGTTTTTACTTCTTTATTGATAATCTAAAAATGGATTATTTTTCAGAAATGAAAGATTCCCACCATTGACTGTGAGACATGAAACCCTCCCTAACTTAAATATCTCTAATATTTTTTAAAGTCAAAATTCACATTATCTATTTTAATTAGGTGACTACATGCCCAGAACACAAAAGGACACTAGTTGGCACTCTTAAATGTATTTAGTAAGGATCATAAGGAATCCTTAAAGAGTGTAAATTTCCCCGAAGCAGGCATACAGGCTCTAATCAAGGACTCAGTGAAGGAAGGATATTTAAGAGCTGGCATTCCTCTATGTTTGTGAAGCTTCTTTGAGGCTAGGAAATTGATTTTACCATCCCAGCTTCTCTGGCGGGGATCTGTTGTTCAACCACATTGACTGCTTTGGCATAGGATTCTACTTCTCCTTGAGTGGAAACACTTTTAAAGTAATAGACATTATTATGAACTAGTAGATGTGAGAGTACTTAGCTGAAACAAAAAGAAGTTTTAATAGACAGTATTATACTATATTTGAAAATCAATGAGAGTTTATGCAATTTTAAGTGTTTACAAACTGCAGTGCAATCTGTTCATGAATGTCTAAGTATTATCAGGAAAAATGTACATATAATCAGTCTTATTTGCTCACAGAGTTCTTTAAGAAAATCGAAATGTTTTTATACCTCCCAGTTTAAGTTAGAAGTATATTTTGAGTAATATTTATGTAATGTGCCTATACATTATGAATGAATTATTTTAGTCATAAATTTTTTAAATCATAACTTTACAACATGAGAAAGAATCAGTAGTTTAGTTAAAACCTCACAAAGTTCAAATGTCTGTGTTCCCAGATATTTCACATTTTTGGAGTATAGAGAGATGTATGTGTGCTCCCTGAGATGGGGAGCACATGTTTGGCAATTGCCATCATCACCATATTTTATAAATACGACATTAATGGGAAAGCAATAATAATATCATTTTATAGGTAGAATAATATATTTGCCTGCAGTCACTAAAAAGAGACAGTGCAAAGACTGAGTCCTTGTGAATTCAACTGACTTTTCCAAATTATATGGATTACCTGGTCTTGCCTTTTACCTTCTGAACTTTCTAGTTTTGTACTCTTGAGTTAAGTTTCAGGACAGTTACTTTAAATACTGACAATAAAAATCAGACCACTGTTAATTAACCACATTAGTTGCTCTTACAGTTTTTCCTTGTAATTTTGAATGGGGCTTATCTGATATACTGATAAGTTATTTCAAAGGTATTTCTGTATCTCAAATCACTTCACTTTTACACTGATAAATATAGATTATTGGGAATGACATTCAGGTGCAGCTTAACATCTATAATCAGTCTTAAAATAATGTGTTCATTGGGTACGTATGGATTAAATCACATAGTGTTGATGAATGTCAGTCTGGAAAAACACTTAACTGTACTAACTGAAATATCTTTTGTGTAGTTACTTTGTCATATATTTTTGAGAGAAAGCTAAAAAGAAAGGAAATTATATGACATATATAGTAATATATGAGACTTATTTAAAAGTGCATGCAATCCTTTGCAATACCTCATTCAGTCGTGTATTTGTTCTCTTCCTCATTCACTATAAGGCAGCTTTCAATTTGCTTAGAAGGAAAGAGGTTATTAGAAACAGAGTTTTTAAATGGGAGTACAACTGAATAGGAGGAAAAGAATAAAAATACCTGTTTATATGTTTTAGTATGTGATAATTACTTTTAAAGTATGTAATTAAACTTGACCAGTTTTCCAGCCATGAAAAATCAGTTCTAAAACCAAAGCTGATTTTGAAAAAATTTAAAAATTAAAATCAACTCTATTCATTATATAGTTTCTCCAAAACTTTGAGTCCTTTTGAAATAATCCAACTATTTTAAAAAGTCTAATTGCTATTTTTAATGTTTCAAAATGCACTATGAATACTGTAGTTTAAAAGAAAGAATGTGGGAAAGGAAAAGTAGAGAAAGAAATGCCAGTTCCAGTCCAAAGCTTTATTTGCCAAGTTTTCTTAGAATGAATTTACCAAGTTATGAATTCTTGTAAATAAAATCTATAATGGAAATATTGAGAGACTTTTGCCTAAAGTGGCATTATTTGATGCTACTGTGATGCTACTGTAATGTAATAAATTATTAAATTGTTGCAAAGTGCTGTTTTTGCCTTAAATTTTTATTTTGTGTGTCTTGAAAACTATAGTATTAAAGGTATTGAGATTGTGCAAATGCTGGGCACGCTTGGCATGAGATAATCTGTTATTTTTACAAAATTGTAATATAACTATGCAAGTGTGTTTATTAAAAGGACACAAACTACATTACTTGTATTGTGTATTTCTTTTGAAGCATCCTTTAAAATTTATMTTTAATTGTTACATGTAGGTGTGATTAAATGTCTTTGGAATTTCTTTTTTTCTTAATGTAGTCTCTGGGTATAGGCCAGCAAATTGTTTTGTGTCACAGGGGCAAAATAAATTGAGATTATTTGATCTATGATAATCATACTTACCTCAAGCAAAAAGAAATTTTGATTTTAATATGCAGTTTAATTACAAAATTAAAGGAAAAATAAAATCTAAGATACGGATAGACTCTCGTGTTACTGAACAATTTTTACTACAGCTTTTTTTCTAAAAAGGAACTTACMAATTAATACTGCAAATGTGAAGTAAGACTTTTTAGTAGGAATTAGAAGTCTGTATAAAAGAACCTTCAGTGAATGCTTGGGGCCATCACAGTCAAACAAAATATTACACTTAAGTAATTAAGTTGGTAGTTCTATATGGCCTTGGGTGAAAAGAAAAATATGGATCAAAATCTAAACCATCAACACATACCATAAATAACCTCTTCTAAAATACTTTCCTCACCCCTGGAAAGTTATCTAACTAACACGTATTGAGTATTTACATGAGTTCAAACAGAGTACCGGGTACTAGAGATACAGAAATGATTGTGATGGGGTCTTAGACTTAGGTAGTGCATAGCTCTGTGAGGGAATCAGGTGCAGAAGCAGTTAATTAAAAAAAAACAGCAACAGATACTTACTGGCTCCATGGGAGTACAGAGGAGGAATACCTGATTCAACCACAGATTGGTGAGGGAGAGAAGACATCCTGGAGGAAGCAACTACCAGATCCCTATGATAAGTAGGGCAAGCCAGATTCTGGGGGCTGGAGGTGTGATCATAAACAGTTCAGTATTGCTAGAGGCAGTGCAAAGCCAGGACCAGTGGAAGTTGAGGCTTGAGAAACAGGCCAATGGTTAAATCATAGATTGCCTTGTTTTTCTAGGGAAAAAAAAAAAAAAACTGTCAATGACTTGGTCCTGAATGGCCTGAAGTTCAGCCTGTGCATGGGGATTTTTTAAAGTTCTCCATGTTATTTTGACATACAGCCATGGTGGAGAAAAACTGAAGAAAGAGTTCTGAGGGAAAATTAGCAGGAGTTGAAGATCAGTGGAATGTGAGAGTAGGTAGAAGAGTCAGTTATTCCCAGGTTTGTATCTTGAGTAACAGTGGGATAATGGTGCCACCAATTGCAGTAAAGAACCAGAGTTGGGGGAAGAAGATGAGTTAGGATTTWATTTATAAGGTGCCTGTGGGATATCTAGATAGCATTGTCCAGAAAGTGGACAGATATAAATAAAATATACAGCATCAGAAAGACATCAGCTGATGGAATGGTATACTACCGTGCATACTGGTGGCTGTCAAACCAGAAAAAGGTGATGAGATTTCTTGGGGAGAAGAACAGACCTTTGAGACCCACAGTTAGGGATGGAATAGTGAAAGGAACAAATGAAGACAGAAAACACTTTYGGCAAGAATAGATTGTTATGCTAATGTCGCCCCATTTTTAAAAAGTAATGAAATTTTAGCTGTGCAACCATTGCTAGTACCAGAAAATGAAAAAGGTAAAGCATTCTCTTTTTTTTAACTTTTATTTTATTTATTTACTTTTATGTGGCGCTGAGGATCGAACCCAGTGCCTCACATGTGCTAGGCAAGCGCTCTACCACTGAGCCACAACCCCAGCCCCCGGAAAAGCATTCTTTATTGAGGACTTATTAGTGTAAGTACTTTTCTAAGATCCTTCAGTGTACTTCACTACTTTTATTGGGGTGGGAAGGGGGTAGATGCTGGAGATTGAACCCAGTGGCACTTAACCACTGAGCCACATCCCCAGCTTTTCTTATATTTTATTTTACTTACAGACAGGCTGCCTTTAGATTTGCCATCTTCCTACCTCAGCCTGAGCTGCTGGGATTACAGGCATGCACCACAGCACTCGGCTCATGAGATTATTGGCTATTTCTATATCTTTGGAGAAATGTCTATTCAGATCTTTAGCTTATTTTCTAATGGAGTTATTATTCTGCATAATCACTTTTTAAGACTTTGGATCAGTTTTAGGTTCACAGCAAAACTACAAGGAAGGTTTATATATTCTAATGCCCTCCACCCCCACAGATGCTTAGCCTTTCCATTATCTACATCCCCTACCTCAGCAATACATCTGCACTGACATGTCATCATTGCCTAAAGTCTTGGTGTTAGACACTCTGTAAGTTTGGACAAATCATAATGACATGTATCCACCATTATGGTACATTTCAGAGTAATCCAACTGCCCTGAGAATTCTCTGTGCTCCACMTGGTCATTCCTCCCTCCCTTCTAGACCCTGACAACCACAGATCTTTTTRCTATCTCCTTGGTTTTGCTTTTACAGAACATTACATGGTTACAATCATACAGCATTTAATCTTGGCTCTTCTAGTAATGTGCACATGTTTCCTTCATATCTGTCATAACTTGATAATTCTTATTTTTGATGCTGAATAATATTTTGTTGTCTGGAGGTATCAGTTTGTTTATCTATTCACTTACTGAAGACATCTTGGTTGCTTCCAAGTTTTGGCAATTATGAATAAAGCTACCATAAGTATTTGTGTGCAGGTTTTTATGTGGACAAAGGMTTATAGTTCCTTTGAGTAAATACCAAAGAGCATGATTGCTGAATCATAGTCTATGTTTGGTTTTGTAACAGCCAAACTGTTCCAAAGTGGCTGTACCATTTGGTATCCCACCAGCAGTGAGTTAGAACTTCTATTGCTCTATGTCCCCTGTTTCAACAGCATTATGGATAGTGGCCATTATAATAGGTGTGTAATTGTGTCTTGTTTTAATTTGAATTTCTCTGAAGACATCTAATGTTGATAGCCTTTTCCTATGCTTATTTTCCATCTGCATATCTTCTTTAGTAAGGTTTCTATTGAGATCTTTGGCCTATTTTAAAAATCAGGCTGTTTTCTTGTTTTTAAGAGTGCCTAGTATACTTTGGAAAATAAATGTCTTTTACACATATTTTCTCCCAGTCTGTGGCTTATCTTTCTTGACCATGTCTTTCACAGGGCAGAAAGTTTTAGTGAAGTCCAGCTTATCAGTTCTTTCTTTTATAGACTATACCTTAAAAGTTTTTACCAAACCCAAGGACAGGTAGATTTTCTCCTAAGTTATGTTCTATGTTGTGTTTCATATTTGGGTCTTGGGACAATGGTGCATTTTAGTTTTCACGAAGGATATATATGTCACTTGTTCAGCACCATTTGTTGGAACTATTTTTCTTTTTTGTTGGTGCTAGGATTTGAATCCAGGGCCTCATGAATGCCAGGCAAGTAGTTTACCACTGAGCTACATCCTCAACCCYTATTTGTGGAAACTAAATAAGCCTTGAGGTTGAGTAGTAGTGTCCTCAACCTTTGTCTTCTATAGTATTGTATTGGCTATTCTGGGTCTTTTGCTTCTCTATATAAATTTTAGAATTAGCTTTTAAATCTTTTTTTTTTTTTTTTTTGGGTACGGAGGTATTGAACCCAGAGGTGCTTAACCACTGAGCACATCCCCAGCCCCCTTTTTTATATTTTGTTAGAGACAGGGTATCACTGAGTTGCTAGGTGCCTCACTAAGTTGCTGAGACTAGCTTTGAGCTCTCGATCCTCCTGCTTCAGCCTCCTGAGCCACTGGGATTACAGGCATGTACCACTGAGCTCAGCTTAAATCACTTTTTAATGTTAGTCTTTAACAACAACTTATGAAGGATGTTCTTAAGGAAGACATTATTAAGGCTGTTATTAACAGGCAAAAATCACTTAGTCTTTCAAAGAGGGTAATAAAATGAGCACAGTGGGAAATAGAGTAGCTTTGAACCCTGGTTCTACCCTCTGAGCTTTAGCCTTGTCTGTATAATGAGGACAGAAATACCTACAGTGAGGGTTAGGCATTTGTAAAGCATTAGTTCATTGCCTGGCTCACARTAGATGCTAGAGATAATAATTAACATGTAATAAACATTTGCTGTGTACCAAGTGATGCAGTAAGCATTTTGATACCACCACCATCTTTCCTGGGGGCTGGCTGTTCTTCCAAACTGGAAAAGCAGAACAATCAATCATCAGTTAATTCAAGATGGAGGTGATAAGAGGGTGAAGAAAATTAACTGTGTTAGATGAGTCCAGGCTATCCTGGAAGAACCTTCCACTGGATTCCTATGTCACCTGTAATTATCTGTTAGCCACCATGAAATCAGAATCAGGAAGTGGTAGAGAATGAGTATGTCCTAAATTCAGCACTTTGGGGCAGAGTCTCCAGTTACTTAGTCATAAACAAGTTGAAAATGAGTTGTATAATCATTCCATTGGGGGAAATTAGAGGTGTAGTAGGCTTTTCAATAATACCAAGAGAAAATATATGTGCTTATAAAACTCGTATTGCCCCAGGATAGTACTGTGTAACTGGTGTACTGGTAGAAAGTGCTACAGTATATAGATTTGTAATTAGCTATTAGCTACATAGTAAGTATGTGCAGTAGAGGAGTGTATAAAGGAACCAGTTTCTTTACTTAGACACAAACAAGATTTAAAGGAGAGAAAGACCCCCATTGGTTTTTGCAGTGCCTTGGGCTATTTAGCATTCAGAAAAAAAATATCCTAAATCCTTTTCCCTCCACGATTCATTTTGGCATAAGACGAGGTCAGGTTTATACACACTGTCTTCAGTGGATGCAGTATAAGCACCACTTAATACAGCTTGCTCTTTCCAAGTGGAAGAGTGGAATYCAGATCGCTAGATTTGAAGATCTGGTAGTTCTGAAGTCTACAGTAAGCCACTTACCACCAAGCTTCACGTGCTGTATTTATACAGGAGGGGTTAAAGTTGCCTGCATTATAAGATAGATCACATGTGGGTAACTATTTTTATTGTTGGAATTGAAAGTTCTATGTTGGGTAAACATGAAGAAACA